GGCCAAAGTGGCGTTGCAGAATACGCGCGCCTCACGCGGGGCCCGGTGCAAGAAGTAGCTTCCTGCAAGACTGGCGCGTGTAGATAGCCGCCGAAGCAGGCCGCTCCCTGGCGGGCGCTCTTTCCTTTTGAAAGCTGGGGTAGTCTGGACTCTTGCGGGAGGGAGGTTGTCCTGCTTATTGAGGCCAAAGCATTTTCTTCAGTGACGATAGTTTGCCTCTGTGTGACTTGGGTATAACACCATGCACGCACCGCAAAGGCTTTGGAACACGCAGATGACAGCGGTGAAATCAGTGACACATGCGTTTCAAGGTGTCCCAAATGTTCTTGCTCTGCCCACGCAGAAGCTGGCCTGAGACCACTTTTGCTCTGGCCCTAGACTTCCTTTTCTAACTGCTTGGTCAGCAGCTGATGTGGTGCTGCCGCTGTAAGTACTCTGCAGGCTTTGGGGGCGGCTCTTGGCAAAAACAGAAGGCTCAGCTGTCACAACAGCAGCGTGGCAGAGGCGTCCCATAGGCTGTGGAGACGTCAGGGCTGCTTGTGGAAGTGGAGCAGTGTTCTGTAATTGCAGCTATTGCGTTGCAGCTGAACTCACTATTGTATAAAGTCACATCCCAAAGCCTGTTCCTCAGTGTGATTATGAGGAAAGGCCATAACATCCCGCAACGGCTGGAGAGCAGGTGAGCCAGCGATGTGGCAGACACACTGACGCTTGTGTCGGCGTCTGAGGTGGCACCCACAGGCTCCGTGACCTAGCTGGTCACCGCTGCCCTCGGTAGTAATAGACATCTAGAAGAACTTAGAGCACTGCTTCCGCTGTTACTGTTTGGCTGAGCTGGAAGAACTGTACTCATGAGCTCTGTTCAGTGCAGTTCCCTCCGATCACCTAACGGCATCTTCCCCAGTGAACCCTTCCAACAGACCAAAGATAATGTCGGAACGCAATCCGACATCCCCAGCTTCCCTCTGTCCGCTGCTGTGCAACACTTTTCAGAGTCCTCTTTCCTTGAGTGCGTTACACTACGCTCTGTTCCTTCAGCTGACTGTAACACCAGCGTCAGAGTTGTGTTCAGCCGTCTGGAATGCTAAGCCGAATTTTATATACATATTGTATTCTCAGTATAGCCGGGTTTTTTGTTTGTTTCTTCGCAGGATTGCCACCCTTCCCCAGAGATATTTTAAGAGCCTAAATTTTAAAATATGAACTGCTACTTTTGATGGCAGACGTGAAGCTTATTTTTATAGCTGTCTTTTGTCCCCCATGCAGTATTCTGAGACGTGAGGGGGAGGAAAGGGGAGAGTAGCATTCCAGTACTCGGGTACCCGCAGGAGCAAGGGCATGGGTGTTAAAAACTACTTTGACTGTCTGTGATTTTGATGTTTCCTTTGTAAAGTGATCATTATTTGAATACATGCATATTTAAATGCCTCTGCATTCCACAGAGCAAGGCCATTTCTTCAAGGCCTTTAAATTATGATATAAAAAAATTAAATCAAATGCTTTTTATTTAAATAGATCCATTGGTGATATATTATTTTGCCAAAGTCTATGTGTGATAAGGCAGCCTTTCAGAGTCTTAACTGTAGGATTTGATTTTCAGTTTATTTCTGTGGATGCTTTGCTATAGTATCGTAGTAATTCTGAATTGAGCATACCTCAGTGAATTGTTTTAATAGCCATAAAGTCACTTCTGTGGTGCTTTATCATTGTAACTGACAGTGAAATTAATAACAAAAAAAAATACATTTGAGGTGCTAACATGTTGCTTTCAAGAGAAAGCAGCTTAAGTCGACTAGAAGTCAGAGTGGCGGTCACGCCGCCTGGCCGTTGCTTTCTGTCCCCAAGGACACAGACGCACGCACACGCTCTGTGTCAAAGTACTGCTGTGTAAGCCAGCTTTCTCCATGGTCAAAGGCAGCCTTCTCCAAGGTCAAAGCAGAGGTAGCCTCCTTCAATGTGTTACTAAAGAACAGTTTTTAGGAAAGAAACCCAGAATTACCGTTGATCCAGCTCCCGAAGTCTAAATGAAGCTTCTGTGAACTTAAGGTTCACATACTCATTTTAGACACACCGCTGATTCTGGCTCAGATCACTGCAGATCTAAGGATTACAGCTGTGAAAAGCAGCACCCAAAAATTCAACCTTTTCTCTCCTTTTACAAATATGTCCTTGGACTCCTTCTTGGTCATGTCTTGTTTGAGAACAAGGCTCTTCACGACCACGCCCAGCCCCACCTTTAGGTGAACTCTTGCAGCCAATCCTGGAAGTGCGTCCTGTAGTGAATACACATGTCCCATAACTAAAAGAGCAAATGCAAAGAGCGGACTCCGCTGAAAGCAGAAAGCAGGCCAAAGCCCAAGAGCATTCCGGGGTAAGCAGGCCGTCTAGATGTTAAAGTAACCAGGTCTGCCAGGGGTGCCCCTCCGGCATGGCAGTGCGGCGTTTCCCTGTGCACTGCCCTGCGTGTCTATTTGCGGGTCACCCTGGAGCCTGCAGCTGTCCTGCAGAAACTGTTCTTTGTGCTTTTCACGACAAACCTAAAAGTGTTGCTTTAGGTGCTTTAGAATAAACACTTGCCTACCTGAATAATGAGACTTTCTGAGCTCACAGAAAATCCATGCTTTTGTTTCTGCCTGGCCAACTTACAAATTTGTATCTACCTCATTTTCATTAAAGTTTGCGTCTTCCATAGGTAGGAAGAGAAGATGTTGGGTATTGGTGTCTTATAACCTCACTACATCCGTCTTTAGAAAAGTAAAGATTGTAAAAATCGTTACTATATTTTCTGAACACAGTTTTAAGCAGCCACACATGGTATTTTCTGAATATTTTGAGCAGTACAGATGTCTATGTGTTTATATAATAAAGCATATTTATTTTTCCATGTTATTTAATTTTATATACGATGTATAAAAGTCAGTGTTTATCAGCGGACTGCAAAGGCAAGTAGACTATATGAATTAGAAATGAATGTACATGTTTCTTTTTGGTTTTAAAAAGATACATTTTGATTTTGTAAACCCCCTCCATCCTGTACCACCCCACTCCTCAGATCTGAGGAGCTAAGTATCAAGTTTGTCTGGGTGGGTAGTTAAAGCATGTATTCTAAAGGGATTCTTTAAAAACTATTTCTGAATTGGAAATGATGCTTAGTCATATAAACAAAAATATATGAGTCTTAACATTTTGTTGGGTATTTTTTTCTTTCTTAATACTGTTATCCTGATTCATTGAGTCTCACTCTGAAATATAAATGTTCTCCATTTATAAAACTTGTAGGTAATGACAAAAACAACCAGAAAACCAAAAACGTTATTAGAAGAAATGATTCTGAACACATACGAGAAGCTAGAAAAAGTAAACTTAATGTGCATAAACTTTATTGCACCTTTTCTTGGTGTTCAGATAACTGCAAAGCGTTTACATTTATCAGTTTGTTGTTTACTTGAAATACATTTCAGGAAACATTGCTTATTAAAGAAAAATAAAGCACCATGCCAGTAACCTCCACAGTTTCAAAACAGGCTGCCCTTTGCAAGAAGTGAAAGTCATGAAAATCACCCCAAAGACCTATCGAAGCCTTATTCCCCTGAGTTTCCATTCCGCCCTGTAACTTATTGTGGTATTTGTGGGTGAAAGAACCAAAATGAGGGAATTCCTTCAGGAGTGCAGTTTTTTTTCCTGAAGAGATACAAAGATAACATTCCAAAGCAAATGATGATACCAACAGCTCACTTCTACAGAGTGTTTGCCATGTACCACACCAAGTAAATGCACACCACCGCGACCTTCCGCCTTTCCACGGGGAGGGCTGTGAGGGCCCGTGTGACCGTGCTGCCCACTCTGGGAGAAGGAATCGTGCCAGTGGGCCGACTGAACTATCCTGTCGTAGACAGAGACAGCCTCTGTCAGAGTGGACATTGAGGCTTCTTTCTATATCTAATAAAAGGTTCTCTGAAAGGCCAACATCGTCCAGTGTCCACAGTACTGAGCTAGTTTTGATTCTGTGTTTAAGTCTGACAACAGAAAGTCCAAACTTCCCACTGCAGGAGGCCAGTTGCCATGACTAACCGTTAAGAAAACTTCCAGCACCTGTGTAAGTTTATGGAATGGGAAAATATCCCTCTCAGGTTAAAGATACAATTTTGGCCAGAGTAGAGGCATGACATGAAGATTTTGACTATGAAAAATAAACACGGTTAAGTGCATGTGTTTCTCTTAAACAATGAAGTAGAACCACTTATTTGGTTCTATCTTTATAGAATGTAAAAATAAGGTCACTTTTAACAATCAGAGCAGAATGACCTGAAACTATAGTGTTTCTCTGGGTTCAGTGTGGATCAGGACTCCATAAGTCATTCCTCTCCAGTGTGTCCAGGGAAATCAAAACACTTGCCTACGTTTCTGCAGAACTGCAGGCAAAACTTAGCAGGTTTTGCAATATTTACAGTGATTTTATGCCTAGGAGAGACTGTCGCTGCCTCCTTCGGATAGCTGTCTTATGGTAGCTTGACAGATTTCTATTTTTATGGGTTTGAAAAGCCCAAAGATGGGAAATGCCAGGGTCAAATAAGTTTTAGACTCTGAGGAGGAGTGTGACCTCTCCCCGACCGGTGGCATGGAGTTGCCTTTCTGGGACTGGAAGGAATGAACACTTTGGAATGTGGAGTGGGAGGCGGAGGTTGTGTCCGAGCATAATTGGCTGGGAGGGAATCCCGGAGATTAGCAAAGGCAGCTCAGGGAGATTTATTTTATGGGGGATGGGATGGCGAGGTAAAAACCCCTACACCATTCCTTTAAAAATAAAAGGCATTCAGGCATTCAACAAACACTTTCAGAGTACCTCCTGCGAGCCACTCTTCTAGGCGCTAAGAATCCAGCAGTGAATAAGCCAGAGCTATTCGTTCTAATGGACGAAGGCAGAACTTAGTAGTAAGTGAAGAAAACTAAGGAACTGGTCCTTCTTTTTCCTGGAAGCCCCACCACCAACATAAAAATAGAAAATTGCTTTGAGGATATTCCGCTGAGTGGAGGCTGGTAATGTTTGTTCAATAAATATTAACTAGCAGCCCTATCTTTATTTTAAGGGTACGACTGTCTCATTTGTGTGTATGTGTGCACTTCCTAGTTGATGGGATAGAAACTTTAAAAACCTGTCAGCATCTGTGTTTCTGTCCCCCTTGCATTCGAGCCCAGCGATAAGTCCACTGAGAGCCAGGATCAGTGGAGGACCTGATTTTCTGCCTTCTCCTTGCTGGGATCTTCAGGCCCCACAAATGTGGGAAGTTGTGCTCTGAGGGTCCGTTTCCATTTTTGTTTAATGTATATCAATAAAAGCATCCGGAACGTCTCAGTTACCACACCATCTTCTTTGCTTCTTGTTGTTTTCTTGCATGTGGGATTCTTGTCACGGATGGTTTTAAACGCCAGGACTCCTCTTTCCAGAACTTTCTAAAACAAAATTGGCAGCTATGATAAATATGTCCAGTGGGTAGTGAGGAAGATAACTCACACAGGCCAAACCCAGAAAGCCGTCATTCTTACCAAGGCCTGCATCCCTTTTCTCCTATAAGAAGGACGCCAGCATAGTCCCATGACTTTCCACCATCATGGAAATGTCGCATGTCTTTGGTTTCCGATATGGGAAGCCAATACTACTATTTCCCAAATGGAAGTCCATACATTTGCTAATTCTAAAGACTCACAATGTGACTAGGTGACAAGAACACTGCATTGTAACTTTTATTGTAGTTATGTTAAATTTTAGGTAGCTTCCTATATCAGGTGGTTACCATTATTGGACAAGACAACCATAGGCAATAATATTATCGTTAGCAGTGAGTCATGAACTAGCCAAAATGGGGAGAATAACACTGTGTCAGCACTTAGGAGGTCCCTGTGTCGAATGCCTCCCAACCAACAGTTGGCATTCTCTAGCCCTTCTTGCGTTTCAGGCCTTTGTTTTGCAGAACTGCAGTGGGTGTTCCCTGAAAGTTGGGCATTAGAAAACAGTTTTTCAGAATCAGCTGTCTTGAGAGTAGTGACTCCAGGACATCACTGTAAGGACAGCTGTTAAAACAAACTCTCCTGTGTGTCTCAGGGTTCAGCTCCAGCATGGCAGCAAGTTCATCTAAGGAGAAAGTGTATTTGTGTGCGCAGTGGCTTGAAAGGCAAGGCTTGATGGATGGTGTCTGGGAGAAGGCAAAGTGGAAAACACCAGGCAGCCACCTTGCAAAAGCGGAATGCCAGGGATCCTTCTCTCTTTGAAGGAAAGTTTTAAAGAGGCACCTTTTCATATTTACTGAACCCAGTAGGTGACAAGCAGATTAGCTTCGCAGGGCTCTGTTTCAAAGACTCTTCAGAAGAATCGGAACTGAGGCAGCGTCTCCTTCATCAGTGTAATTGTCATCATTTAACTTTGCAAACCTTGTCCTCTGCAGTGTTAATAAAACCCTTATCAATTCATTCGATCATGCCTTGCACTGTAGCACCCCAGAAATGTAAATGTACGCAACAGCTTTGGCTGTGAACTGACTGATGATATCATCAGTTATTTTTCCCAATGACCAGGTAGAGACTATTCCCCCTACAAGACGACATTCTGCATTAAACTAGAATCCAGCAGGTGCTATGTTTCCCAGAGGCACTTGCCAGTCTGCTACGGCTGTTCTCAGACTGTCAACCACTACAGTGAGAGGTAATTGCAGTAATTACTTCTCCCTAAGCCACTTCATTCCGAAGTATCTCAGAAAGTGAATGAATTGATATCCTTAGTCACTCACAAGAAACTGATTTTTGCACAATGTGTTTCCTCCCATAACTGTAGGGAGGACTTTGATTTTTTAATAATGGTTTATATTGTGGAACATTTGCTCTGCATTAGAAATTACACTAAGCAGTTTACCCCTATTGTCTGGGTTGCTCCTCTATTTGCTGAATTCAGCACCATGAGACAAGTTAATGGACTGATGCCAGGCCGCATAGCTGGGAAGGAACTGACTGAGGGTTTGAACATTGAATTTTCAGACTTTCAAGCCACTGGTTTTAACCGCGATGGAATTCCCTCCTATCATTGTGTAGGTCGTGAAATGGTGACATGCCAGTTCCTGCGGAAAGAGGATATCATGATTTAGGATTTTTTTGTTACCCCAGATTATGGTGATTTAAACATTCTGGAGTTAATCGAGCCATTTACAAATTTTGCTCAAGAAAATTGGGGCTGAAGATAAGAAAATTATCTTTCTTCAGATTAAATAAAGAGCAAGATTTGAAGGATTTTAGAAGATTTTGAGAAAAACTCACCCAGTATTTATTGAGCACACACTGGGTGATATTTCTGACACTTTAGTACATAAAGAGAAATGAAGGCCAAGTGTGGTGGTGCACACCTGTAATCCCAGCACTGGGGAGGCTGAGAGGTAGAAGGAGTTCAAGGCCAGCCTGGGCCGCATAGAGAGACCCTGTCTTAGCAAAAAATGTTTTAAAAACCCTTGAGACAATAAATCTAAGTCTGTATGCAGTGGATAATCAGCTCGGATGTTCTTAGTGCCGGTTAGGGCATTTTACAGACATTGGCAGTGGTGAGGGTGTTTGCAAAGAGTACATGCGCTACAAGTGAATTAAGAAAAGTGATGTTAAAATTTATTGAAAATGGTCTCACACTAACTCCTCTCTGCTGGTGGTGAAACATACTAAATGCACTGAAACGCCCTCAAACTATTCCTGAGCTAAAGCCGTCAAGAGCTGAAACCCTCCTTTTGCACTGCGTCGTTGTCATCCCCACAGGTGGGACTGTCAGTGGCTTTCAGTTTTGTGCTTTTGTTCTTTCCCTCCTCGCCCCTCACTCCCCCATCCATCGTGCTATTCCTTGGACCATGTGGCGGGTAGACAGGTTGGGGAGCCTGCTAAGATGAAGGGGAGGGAAGTATAACGGGAAAATCCCTATTAGGTTTGCTTCCTGTTTCTCAGCAAAGACCAGGGAAGAAACGTAGACAGAACTACCACGTATCAAGTGAAAAACTGGCTTCTCAGATCATTGCTTAATCCGCCCAGCCCTAATTTCCTTCAGGCTGAAGAGGCTGCCAGTTACACATGGTGCCTTGTTCAAGGGGGCTGCAGACAGTGTTGGAATGCGTGAACGGACCCAGCTGCTCACAAGTTGAATCCTCATTACACTGGTCTAGAAATACAGAAATAAAGAGACGTGGGCTCGTTCTCTGCTGTGTGTCAGTGTGATGTCCTGCCTTTGAGAGTTACATGGTATTTGTGCAGGATGGCCCCCTCGATGTGGGGAAACTAGAGATGGGACATTCTGTCTGTGATTTGTTTCAAACTTCAGGAAAAGACACAACAATGGCATGGAGAGGAGAAGGAGCGTGTGTGGTAAAATGTTGGCAGCTGGGGGTTCTAGATGGGGGATACAAGAGATCTTTTTGATGTTTTTGCAATTTTCTGTAAGTCTGAAAAATTTCAAAATATATTATTTTTAAACATTTCTCTAAAAAGCACAAATATACCTAGAGTATATGTTTTCTTTCATAAGGGAATAAAGCATAGATCTGGATTTATTTCAGGACTTTAAAAAGGGTGACACATTTTAAGAAGCTGTTTTTAACTCCGATTTGTACCCTATGAAACAAAAATAAAAGGAGCAGGCGTTACCGTTGGGCTCAGCAGGAGAGGCCTCTCCCACTTTTCCCCATTCCCTGTCACTCCTGGTCCTCTCCTCTCTTCCCCCTTGTGCCCCGCTCACTCTGCAACTGGAACGAAGCCCTTCTCGGGAACAGTGAGGGGGTTTTCCTTCCCTTTTCACAGAGAAAGCCTGACTTCTGTTGCAAGTCGTACAATTACATTCCACTGGATAGCTGGCCATATTCAATTGCTCCTTTTTAAAAATCCACTGCTACCCAAATTCAGATTCCTTTGAAAACTAAAGTCTTTTCCCAAAGATATGTGTTGTCTGTGCTTGTTTTCCTTGAGCTTAAAACAAAACAAAACACACTCACCTAGCCAGCTCACCGGTTCCCGCCTGGCTGTTGGCAGGAATCTTGAGTGAAGTCATTTCCATCCCTTTGGTCATCTTTGAGTCAGACATGACATGTCCAGGAACCTCACGGGGTCCGGGACGTGACGTCAGGGCGGAAGTGCTGTTGATTGTACTCGGGGTCCCTATTGTTACGTGCGGGAACTGATCCACGTTGTGCACATCACGTTCTCAGTAGGCCCGGCTTCCCAGCTTCTTTGCTGAAGCCTCTGGCCTTGCCGGGGTGATGGGTATCTCTCCAAATTCTATCCATAAGGAAGCTCTGTGTGCCCCTCTGCACATTTGATTAAAATCAAGTCACTTCTGAGAACTTGATACGATTACCTTGCCTGAGCTGCCTTAGAGGAGCTCAGTGGTTCTTAAGCACAGGGTGATTTTTACCACCACCCCCAGCCCCCCAGGGGCCTTTGGCAGTGTTTGGACACAGTTTGGGTTATTACAGATAACAGTGGAGTCCTATCAGGATCCAGTGAGTAGATGTGCTGCCAGAATGCCAGATGCACAGGACAATCCCCGACCACAAGAACTGTCCTATGTGAGATTTCAAAATAGTGCAAGAGTGGAGAAATCTGCTGAAGAGAAGAAGGCATCCTATTCAGAACTCAGAGTTACGGCTCTAGGGAACGGCACTGCTACCAGAAGCCTTGCTCTCTGGAGAGCTGAGTTTCCCATTAAATGTTATGTGAGATTCCAAGAGCCGTCCAGATCTGTCAGACCCAATAATGCGAGGTGTCCAGGTTGTCTCTCCAGGCTGTGCTTTGCACGCCATTAGGCAGCACTGCACTCTTGCAGACAGTGGGGAGAGCAGGAAGTGCTGTAGATGTACAAAATGCCCGAGAAGACCCACAGACCTTCGTCATAGCACCTTTCGTGAGGTGGCCAATTTATAAAGGATGGCATGAATGTAGAGGGGCCTTTCTAAGAAAACAAAGACTGCTCTTCAGCATATGCTGGCATGAGGGTTGCTCCAGTGGCTCTGATACAGTGCATCCGATACAGGCTCTTCTTACATTTTATGCTTTAATCATCAGTGGTAGAATATGCAGGTATGTAACAGTCCAGCAATCAATAGGAATTGGTTAAGCTTGAGCACCAGAATATTTACGTTTCTTCTCTTTTTAAAGAAGATTAATTCAAGTGAGCATTTTATCTGGGAAGTGGGAAGCCGCACTTCTAATTGGAGATAGAGACAGAAGTCCACAGAGCGTTCTATGGACTTCACGCATGCAGCAGGATTTCCCAGTCTTAGCATTGCTGACATTTTGACATTTGGTCCATAGAGTTCCTTGTTGCGGGTGGCTGAAGAGGGCCTTGTGGGATATTTATCAGTGTCCTTGGTTTGTACACACCAGATTCCAGCAACCGAGCCTCTCAGCTGTGACAACCAGAAATGTTCCAGTCGTTGCCAAATGTCCCCTGGTGTGTGGGGACCCGTCCTCGTCCTGCAGTTCTGTGCGTTTCTCACAGCAGAGTTTTATCTTTTCATGTTCTTACAAGTGTTAGCTGGGGATATTCTGTCGCATTTGCCGAATATACCTGATACCAGATTGCTGTATTTTAGAACAAAGAAGTCTTTATGGTTATAAAATAGCTCTCCCTCCTCTCAGAAAGAGAGATTTTGCAGACATCAAGTTTTCATGTGAGTTATCTCTGTCAGTTTCATTTCCTAATACATCAGAAGAGACAATACTCAGGTGGTCAGGTATTCCAGATGTGTGGTGTTGACTTGGCTTTTCTGTACATGAACTTCTGGGGAAGAAATTTCTGAGTTCTACCTCTCAAGGTCTTATTTTCTCTTTGCATATCTTTCTTGCCTTACCAGGTGGAAAAAGCTGTGTATTTACCAGCTTCCAGCCCCCCGCCACACACACACACACACACACACACTCAGAATGCAGACATAGCTCTGACAGCAGGAGGGCAAAGAACATGACACAGCTCTGGGTTCTAGCAGGCAAATTGATCTCAAGTCCTCTTTAAAAAGGTCGCAAACAGTGGCGGTCATACCAGAGTCCAGAACTTTGAGAGTGGTCAGGAAGTCTGTGTAGAAGGAAGCCACGCACGGCAAGCCCAGCCACTGCCACTGGCCTCAGAAATTCCTCGGTGGGACCTGCGGGCTAATGAAGTAACCAGTTTCTCTACTATGTCTAAACTTTATTTGATGGACCACCACGGAAATTTTTATTAAAACACAGAAATTCACACTAGTGTCCAATATAGAAGAATTAGAATTTTAAATTACTAATGGACTATATCAAAAGTCCTTCAGAATTATAGTTAGAATTTTGACTTTTGACTAAACATAATCTTTCCAGTGATCCTCAGGTGTTAATTGAGCACATGCTGATCTTTAAAGAAAGAAACTACCTTGTAGCTTCCCCTGAGGATCTCATTTCTGTGCGGGATTGAGTTCCTGCCCCCCATAGTCACAGACGGCCGTGAGTGAAGTCCAGGTGCTCATCATACATTTCCTGACGTGACAGTTAGCTCAGAGCAGTATAGGGTCGTTAAATTTGCAGAAAACCACCAAACATAATTGTCATTTCTAATGACAAGTCTTCCATGTTGTGAGCCCAGTGGCTCATTGGCTGCTTTTTGTTTCTCTCTTCATGTCACTTTCATGATGGTGCTTTTGAGGCTTTTCTTTACCAGCAGGTGTGGGGAGGAGGACAAGACAAGACAGAAGGCTCTTGGATAATGCCGGCTGAGAGTCACTCTGCCATCTGAACTGCCAGGGAAGCAGTCGCAAGTTGGAGGATGAGCACCTACTTCAACGATGGTTAAACTGTCCCTTTCACCTTCTGTTCAGATGTATTTCTCTGTATGTAGAGTTGGACATTCATGCACATCTCAGTCCTGGGGTGACAGTAGTATCCAGCCCAAGCTCAAGTGATTAGATGAGCTGCTTCCCAAAACAGTTGTAAATGTTCAACCTTTGGTACCCATGGGGGGTTGGTCCCAGGACCCCTGACACATTGCACCTCCACATATAGGGATGCTCAAGTCCCATACAGAAAGTAGTATATGTGCAGAGCCCACGTGGCCCTCCTGGGAGCTAAAGTCATCTGCGGGTTACTTAGAGTACCTTACACAGTATTTAGTTGCTGCTCTCTAAATAACTGGGTCCCAGATTGGCTGGATCCTTGGATGTGGATCCACCAGGGGATGCAAAGGGCGGGCCAACCGTCTGTATGAGTGACAGCTGACCTGTAGAGAGGGTGCTGTCACCTGGAGCTAACGGAAGAGAAGCCAGACCGACAGCCAGCAGGACTAGACCCAGCAGTGAAATGCGCTTTGTCCCAGTGTCCTCGAAATGACTGATTAACTCCGCAAAGAGGACAAAGTTTACAAGGCCAACACTGATCTCACAGACACGTGAGAGTACAGGAACAAACTGCATTGATTGCTCTTCTGTGAAAACATTCCTGATGGGGACTGAGCTCCCAGATCTGTCCCTGACTGCTTTGGGTAGTGGGACTGTCACTGCACTCTGATTGGCTTGCAGACTGATGTCTGCGGGTTGCCGTGAGCACCCCCGGCCCAGACCTCTGATCGCCTCCACGTTTAAGTGCAAAACCTTTGGCCGCTGCTCTTGCCAGCGGTGGCTTTCCTTTGGCAGCTTCCTCCGGCACTGCTTCACTCACTGCGGACCTCACAGCTGACCGTGAGGGTCCTGGGACACAGGTCTCATGCGGTGTCCTCCCTGCCCTCCAGACTGCCCTCGTAAATGCTCCCGGGACAGGCACAGAGTGGGTCCTCATGCCACCTTCACCTGCAGCTCTTTCCTGAGAAACGCCAACATCACAATTCAGCTGAAGTCGGTTTACAAATAATTATAATTTTGAAGGGAAAAAGGATCCTATAAAAGCAGTAGGTGTGCTTGGAAATAGGGGGCTCGGGGTCTGGTAACGTAGCACAGCCCGGATAAAATTCACCAGGTACAGTGCTTTTGCCTTTCATTTCTCTCTTCATGGTGAGGAAAACTGGCATAGTCATGTTCTTGCAAAACAAAAAGAGGGCTTTGGCAGCCTGTATAGCTAATTTCGTGTATGCTTGCTATTGACATCCTTCTCCCTCTGCTGTGACCCTGTCACACTGTGAGAGAGGAGGAGGGGAAGGACCCCTGCAGGGCCCTGTGCTGTCTGACCCCCAGGAGGTAGTGGGGGTGGAGCGCAGGAGTGCCCTGCGCTGTCTCCCTGCTCTGGGGGCCGTGTCTCCCTTGTTAGGCAGGGCCACCTACTTGGCTGCAGTGTTGACTGCGGCCTTGAGTGTGCTCCGGGAGTTGACATGTGACTCTCAGTCCCTTTCTTAGTCTTTGTAGCGCTGCAAAGGCGGGATGCTGCGGGCAGTGGGGACGGAAGGATGGCCCGGTGCCCTGTCCGGCCGGGACCACTGCACTCCTTACATCCGCTTGCTCCTACCGTGTTTCCTGACAGTCTCAGCTCTCTCAGCTCCTTCTCATGGTAATAAGTGCCAGGGTGGTCCCAGACACAAACAGCCATCAGGCAGGCCTGTCAACCCTGGCTTTACGCCCTGAAGTCACAGCCCTTGTTTCCTGCTGAAGCTTTCTCTGCCTTCCTCTTCAATATTTTGGTTTTGGTGGCCCTGTTTAGAGCCATTCTTGTTTTGTGAGAAACCCTACAAAAGTATCCCTAAATGGATTCACATGGCCAATAGGAGACATGCTTCTGGACAAAGGGCTGTGACCATTCCCACCAGGACCCCAGCACTGCAGGGGAGTGACTGTGGACTCCGCAGTGTCCTCACTGGAGCCCGCTCTGTCCCAGGACACTGGAGACCCAGCATCACAGCAAACGGGGAGCAGACGCAGTCCTGGAGATGAGAGGTCCGAGCAGGAAGAGGGGGGGTAGACCAGAGACGTGGCATTTGGATGTGGTACCTTTCTTTCTCTTACTGTGGTGAGAAAAGAGCATAAAAGTAAGTTATAGATTTTAGGAGAAAAAAGGGCAGTAGAAAAACAACTTTGACATTTACATCTGCTCTGACGATCTCTCTGTGCCCTTTAGAAAGGAAAGCACTTTGCTTATTCACAAGGGTAAGATTTTGCCAGACCTGATCTCACCTTTACCATCAGTATCTCTGTGTTCATCTTAGACTACAGTGAGCTGACGAACACTTTTAAATATCCACCTTTTTGGAAATACTCTTTTAAAAAACACATTGAGTAGAGGCAGTAGTAGTGGTGACACTGAACTAAGTATTATTTTCATGTCGTCTGGACAACATAGCAAGAGCTTTGTATATGCATTGCTTCCCTTAACTGTAGCCGGGCTGTGCTAATCATGCTACTACTACTGAGAGCAGACCCGAGCCCAGAGAGGTTAAGTCACTGCCCACAGTGACACCAGTATAAGATGGCACGTGTGACTCTAGCCCCCTGCTGCCTTTTAGCCCAAGACGAGGGCCAGCACCCCTGCAGCCTGCTGCCCTTGCCCCTTGGGCCTCGGTGTTGACCGGTGCCTTGGAGCCGCTGCCAGCACGCTCACGCTTTGTGGATGCGGGTCCTCAGAGCCAGAAGAGCACGGGCTCCACCTGCCCGTCACGCTAGCTCCAGGTGTGATGCCCAGATTGGAACAGAACGAGTAAGGATGTCTGTGAGGGTGTCTCTGAGATTCCCAGTGGCTCAGACTTCTGAGCAGAGCGGAGCGAATTGGCGGGCCCAGATACACAACCCCGAGCCTTCCACTCAGAGCCACAGACAGTTGCCTGAGGCAGGCCCCAAAGGGTTAACATACCTCAGCACGGTCAGGAGGAAAGCAGGGCGTGGCTTCAGCCAACCAGCACGTGCCCCTCTGTGTACGTGACTGTGTTGCTTTTTGTGACGTTTCTCTTCCTGAGGCACAGAAGGCGTGATGAGTAAGGTGTTGAAGTCAGAACTGTCGGGGCGGGGGATGTAGCTCAGTGCACAAGCACCTGCCTGAAGTTAGAACTATTAACAGCACAGCTGCTCACTTCCTGGCAGCTTGAGGGATCCAAGCACACTGGCACCCTCTTAAGAGACATTTCTTTGAGGTCTGTGCTTTTGTCATTGCTCGGGTAGGCAGAGAGGAGTGACCTGCTCTCTTGCCCAATCCCCTTGTCCCATACAGTTTAAGGACTGAAATGGCGGTGCTGGAGATAAGCATGCTCTACACAAAGCCTAGCTGTTCTTCCTGACTGTCACCGTGGGCAAGTGCGTCGTTATTGGACCCTACGCCCCCTTAGGTGAAAAGAAACCCCAGTAATACCTGAGCCACACGGTTGCTTGTGTTGGGGATTAAGGGACAAGGGCCAGCGTACTTCAGGCTTCAGCACAGAAGTTCAGAGTCCTGCTCACAGCCCAGATGACTTGCAGGAGGTCTGCTCAGCCTGCAGGGGCATCTTGGGATAGCCTTCTTGAGTCTGAGTGAACTGTGGCAAGTTAGTTCAGCTAGGCGGTTGTTTATGAAGACATATTGTTGCGTTGCAGTACAGCTCTGTGATGGCTGGCTGGAGCTTTCCTGTGTTTGTTCTTGTCCATAGCTTCCGGCTGCTTACAGAGTAGGAAGCACTGGACAGATATGTGTGTTACGCTGTAACCAGCCCACATGGTCTCCAGTGAGCAGTGTTTGAAAGTTGGATTCCTAAGTCCATATCCTTTTACTTACCTTCTTTCTTTGGTGGACCAGGGCAATAGGTGGGTGTCTTTCCAAAGGTGTGACACTCATATGGGCATCTCACTTGTCACTGTGATTGGAAAGACAATCTTGAACCTTGGAGGAAGACCTGCATTGTCTTTGATAGCTTATTTTCCAAGGGAGGCTAAATAAAGTCAGAATGAGAGTAAGATCAGAAGAACTTGTATATGAAAATATACAACCAAGCACTATTTAAATGAAGCGATTTAGATGTTTTCGAATTCTGTGGAATCACATAAGAAAGGCCTTGAAAGTAATACGGTCTCCAGTCTCCAAATAGAACTCTATCCACCCACCCCAAGTGCTGGTCAGCACCTGACTAACAAAACTCCCTGGAAAGAGTCTTGACTTAACTTGGCAGTGGGTTCCAGTATACGACCTTTCTCCTGGTCTTCCTCTCCTTGTTACTCCTAACCTGCTGTGAGCCAGTCCTATGTCTGGAAATACGTGCCGGTTGGTCTACACTACGGCATCACCCTGGGCACTAGGCATCTGCTGTGGCTCTGGCAGTCCCAGTCCGCCTCCACCTCTCCGGGGCTTCCTCTAAACTCAGCATCTTAGCCCCACCAGGACACTTTCTGGCCAGATTCCGATCTCCCTTCTTCTGGGTTCTTTCTGGTGAACTTACCAGCTCTGCAGAACTCCTTCACTGGGATGTCCTGAACCTCAAGAATATGAGGGTCTCATTCTCCTTGGCTCTGCAGCCCTTGTCGTCCAGGTAGACATATCAGGGTCGCTCATTGGCTCCTGGATAATTAAGAAGCCATGCCCTTCAGTGTAAGTGAAAGGGCCACAGCAGGGAGCTGAAGTCCAGGGCAGCACAGTGGACTCCGGGCCATCTGTGTCTTATCCAGGGTTGCTTTTCAAGAGACATCATGTCCGTGAGAGAGGATAAGGACACACCGCCCACGTCCGGAGTGTCGTTTCCCCAGCTGAGTTGAAATGCGAGGATTCCAGACCCTTAAGGCTTTGTGGAAAGTTTTAGCACTGTGTCTGAACACAGCACCGCATTCCAACATCCCCTTCAGTGCGCCTTACGAAAACAAGAGCTCGAAAGTCCGGGCATTTGGGAGGCTGACCTTGGGCGTCTACATCAGCAGAGATTACACTGTTAGGGAGTTTTGCTCAAAGATGGGGGAAAAGTCAGTCTCTTAAGTAAGCTGAGTTGTTGCCCAAGAAAGAAAAATCAGAGACCTGTGGGCAAAGTAGGAAGCTATTTCAGCTGCAAATTTAAGGAATTAAATGTTCCAAAAGCAAGAATTCAGATATGTAGCCAATAAATGTTAGGTGACACATAAATATAACTATTGTATCTCAGTGATGCATAGTGATGTAAAAATCATCTTTTGCCTGGGAAAAGACTGGAAATGAAAAGATGGGAATTTTCCCCAGAAAGGGCTGAAACTTGTATTTATTTGATTATCAAAATGACAGCTCCTTCATGAAGGCATAATAGACCCATTAATAAACCTCTGAGGTTTGAGCATTTCCGCGAACAGCTGCTTCTCTTCACTGATAATTTAGAAAGCATTGAATGAAGACTGTCAGATTAGTTACCTTGAGAATTTCCTAATCATTTCTAGGTCTTAATAATTTCTTTTTTCTTTTTTTTTTTTTTTTGTTTTGTTTTTTTCCGGTACCGGGAACTGAACTCATGACCTTGCACTTGCGGCAAGTTAATGACTCTACCGTTCTGACTCTGTAGTCAGGTGCTGTGCCGCTGAGCTAAATCCCCAGCCCCAGGTCTTAATAATTTCAAGAAAAGAATATGTGCCGGGGATATAGCTTAGTCTGCCTGGCATGCGCAAGGTCTTGAGTTTGATTCCCAGCACCAAAAAAAAAGAAAAAGAATATGTGTGGTGAATCACACATTCTGTGTTCTGAGGCAGTTCCATTCAAGTCTCCAAATAAGCGAAAGGCACCTACTGCTAGGTAGGGCGCACTAACCCAGACATTACCAGGGTTTAAGGCGTGCTGTTTAGAAAGCACGTCCGTCAGTCTCTGTTTCCTTAGCAGATGTCGGTGACAGCAGTAACACACAGACGAATGGCCGCCAGCGAGCTGGTGTACGATTTAACTGTTCTTCCATTGTGCTGTTGCGGTTCCCGGCAGCAGCCTCACCTTGTGCTGCAGCAGGGGAGAGCAGGACGTAGAGCACTGTGGCTGTGCCCGTTTGGAGCCCCCTGTCCCCGCTCAGAGTACCCAGGTCCCTGCCAAGCTTTGCTGATTAGTTGGAATGCTTAAATGAGATAATGCATACAACGCCTTGGAGTATGGCCAGGACCCAGACGATTGTAGGGGAATTTAGCCCTTTCCAGTTCTGACTCTGTAGTCGGTTTTCTTCTTTTAAGCCGTGTCTTCTGATCCCATCAAATTACTAATTCAGTCTTTCCGTCAGCTCGCTTTTCCCCTTCACATCAAGGGACAGCCTGTTTGCATTGTGTGTGTGTTGAAGTGACTGTCCCCAAGGACACCTTGCTTTAAGTCCAACCACGTTCATTTGATTACTGTAACACAACTATGTTTCTTCACTCTGACCCAGCAAATATCGCCCCCCAGAATTCTGTCTTCTTTATGTCCAGCCCATTTCCTACAAACATATGTTTCTCTTCCAGTGCTGTTCCCCAGGGTCCCCTGTCTCTTAACGTGGTGGTGGATGTTATCCCATCTCTCCAGTTGCCCAAACCAGAAACCTGGAAGTCAGCCTTGATTTTGCCCTTTCCCCGTACCCTGCCGTTGGTCTATCAGATGCTATCATCTTTACTTCAGAAACATACATCTTTAATTCACCAACTTCCTCCACCTAAAACCTGCTGCCGGATCTGAGCTACCACTGCCTCTTGCCTGCACAAGAACACTACTTGCTGGGTTTCCTTGTTCCCACTCACACCGCATTCATGTTCCGTTTCTGCTCAGCCACCAAGCGGAGGTTCTGAAACAGAAATCAGACCATGAATTAAAACTGCTCAGTGAGTTCCTAACTTGTGCAGAATAAAATCCAAAGTCTTTATCATGACCTGTGACCTGGGCTGGTCTGGCCCCAAGGACTGCCTCAGGGAGCCCTCTGCCCACCGCTGCAGCCTATTTGCTTCACAGTACTTACCTCAGTGATTAACCATCTCGAGAACTACTTTTGTCATCACTTGGCTAATGTAGATTTCCATCGTGGGTGTGTAAGCTCCGTGAGGACAGGGACTATGTCAGTTTTATTATCACTATCTCACCAGTATTTTTCATAATTCCTGGAACGTGGTAGGTATTCAGTAAATGTTTGTTGAATAGACAGGTGAAGTCATCCCAATTTCACATTGTGTCCTTGTATTACTCTCTTGTTGAAGTTACATTTTTAATACTAAAATTGGTCACGCATAATAAGAATTATCCTTGTTGAAGTCACTAGACCGCTCTTAGAAACTTTTAGGAATACTTCTAAGAACTTCATCCTGAAAGCCATGGAAAAGATTATCCCCAAGTCCTTATCTACATCAAAACACTGTAAGTTGAATGATGAATAGTTTTGTTTTGGTGGAGGTATTCAAACTGGGCTCCTTCCGTCCATGATGTATACTATTAAGCTTCCCAGAGTAACTACTCCAAATTGTAATATTTATCAGATGAGAGCTCAAATGAATGTTTCCCCTTCTAAAGTAAAAAAGTAAAGTCAAGTGCATTAATATTTGTATTTTAGATTTCTCTACCAGCGACTGGTGAAATTTTTATAATGGTTTGTGCTTCCCAGAAAAACATGTCTGGCACATTTCTGAATGGTATAACTTTGAGCATGCTTGGTAATCGTGGTTAAATTAATATGAGGCTGCTTGTTTTACGTGGAGCTATTTATCTGTTAGGCATCAGAGGGCATTTTGGTGATCTAAGCTACGGAAATCTCAAAGTGAGTTGGGAAAATAAATACTGAATAGAGGGAAATGACACTTGAAATCTATTTTCATCACACTCTCCCATCTTGTTCTTCATTCTTAAATTCATTTCCCTCTCGAAGCCAAGACCATTATATTGGGAAATAATGTGTCTCAAAGCCCGAGCCAGCAGCTTAGCATCCGAGTGGTAATGCCTTCTGTAATCACTAATGAGGCAGTGGATATTGAACGTGCACTCCTTGGGGCCGGCCTCTGCCTGTTCCACAAGAAGCTGTCATATCAAATTTTTGTCCAGACTCCACGGGCACTTTGATTTCTAAACCTTTCTGAGAAACCTAATCTGAAATCAAAGTCAAATGTCTTAGATGTGGTCAGACAAGGTCACATTTAAAACAGTCCAGCAAACCTGCAGATCAGAGTTGAAAGGTAATGCCTTCCCCCTGAAATTGGCAGGCTTACCTGCTAGCTTACCTTTCAGTTTCTAACATGCGTTTTTTACCTCTTTCCCAATGGTCTAGGAGAATAAGAGCTTTCTCCTTGGAAAACGCCTGAAGAGTTCTCTTAAATCATTTGGTTAAAAAAAATTGAACACGGCTGCATTTTGGAAATGCACCTTTATCCTAATCCGTGAATCACAAGGCATTTTGTTGAAGATTTGTCTTACTATTGACTAGTTGGGCTTCTTTCGTCAGACTTCCATGGTAATTTCAGGTTCACGCGCTTTCTATTTGAGCCAAATTAGCGGGATTTATCCACACTCTTGAGTGGTGCCATGCAGGATTGCTGCTGGACACCTTTCCCAATACCACCTCCTGCCCTGTCAAGTCTTGAGATAGTATCCAAAATGGCACTGGGAATGTGGGTATGTTGAGTCTCATTGGACATGATCTTAACATCTCACATCGCAGGTTTTTATCAAACTCCTCGTGATTAGCAAACAACAACAACCTTGCCATTGCTTTATATTGCAGTGTTCTGTGTCTTGTGGTCGGGGGCATAAGCAACGAAATGTTTACTGCATGGCAAAAGATGGAAGCCATTTAGAAAGTGATTACTGTAAGCACCTTGCTAAGCCACGTGGGCACAGGCGGTGCCGCGGAGGACGGTGCCCCAGATGGAAGGCTGGCGCGTGGAGTCAGGTGAGCGACGCTTCTCCCTCCCCTCTGCTTCTTCCCCTCAGCCACGGGGCGATGCCAGTGTGTGCGCTTGTGTTTCCTTGCATGGTTTTGGCTTTACTCCGGAGAGCTGCAGCCTGGGAGGGAAGAATGTGCAGCTACAGTGAGGACAGCGGTGTGACCTTGAACGAGTGGCGTCAGCCCCTGGAGCTGCGCGTAATCCCTTCTGTGAGGTGGTTTTGAGGACAAATTCTGTGTGGTAATAGGTGTCAGACATCTGCCGCAGGGTCGCTCCTCAAAGCTGGGCTGATGCCTAGCACGGTCATTCACCACTGGAAAAGCCACGACTTCAGATCACACTGAAGCCCACTCGGCCCCGGCAGGGACTGAGTAGGAATTTGCCTCGGAGCTCCTGGAAGAGAAAGTATCAGAAAGTATTCCTCTGCCCCTGTGCTTGTTTCCAGCAGAGATGGGAGAGGGAGGAGGGAGAGCGCTCAGAGCTACCCGCGCTGATGCAGTGTGTGTCGCCTTCCCCAGCCTGCTGCATATGGTCCCTGTGATGAGTTACTGCAGTCACGAATGCCAAGGGCTTCGCTCAGGGCCCTTGGGTGGAACAGCCTATTTTGTTTGGATGAGTGTGACGTGTGGATCCCACGGGGAACAGAGGAGGGACTTAAGACCCTGATTACAGTTAGATTCCGCTAACTCTAAACATTTGGTAAGCCAGATCGAGGAGGTGTGAGAGTTTCCCTGTTTAGCTTGAGAGAGGAACTTTGAAAGCTTCTGTTTACATGTAAGCATTAGGTATCTAGCGCAACCTGAATCGTTAGTATCTGGCCTTTGAGCGGACCTGGTAGCTTCACACCTTGGTCAGAGGTGCTAGCCTGAGAGGAACAAACTCAATGTTTTCTGAAATATTGACTGTTTCGGTGCTGGTGGTTCAGGCCCTTCTCCGATTCAGCGAGGTTCTGTGGATTTCTGTTCTCCTGGGCCACGGACAGCCATGCTGCTGACTCCTGAGAATCGGTAGCAAGCCAGGCTCGGGGTGGGCCCCTCGAGAAGACATTCTTTCAGAGTGTGGGTCTTCATGTGCAAGGGCTCTGGACACGGCCCCGTGAACTCAAGGAGGCTATCAGGAAACTCCATTCCCATACAGTTAACAAAAAATTCTTCAACCTGAATCTTTCTGAAACGTCCTGAGCAGACATCACGGTTGGCAGCCACGTTCCCTCACAGAGTGTGAGAGGAGGTGTGTCCCTGGCTGGCACACACGCCTTCTCCCTCCCGAGATCTTTTTCACAATGAAGTGAGGTTGGGGTTCATTTTGCTTTAACAATCAGGGACTGTACCCGGCCAACGCACATTCTCCCGCTAGGTTACTTTGGACTACGTTCAAGGCAGTGTGTCATAGTGTTCATCCTTTTTAATGGCTTCTGGTTAACCGCTGTCGTGTTAACTTGCAGACCTTTTATCTTGGGAGCCATTCAGTTCATGCGGAAGCCTGCGGCTACCGTTATTTCACTCGCCACCCTAATTAGCCTGTCCTCTAGCAGATTTTAGTTCTATTACTTTGTTATGTTCCTAGATCTCGCCTTATCTATTTGCATTTCCCCCTGAATATTATCCTCAGAACATGCATCAATGCTCATTTTAAAGGCCAATTTATTCACTAAAGTGACAATTAAAAAATCTTTTGCTCTTTACTGATAAACACAGAGTGAGTTTTAACTCCAGCTTCCTATGATCTTGTGGAGAAGCCCAAAGTTACTTACAAAACTGGGATGATTAAGTTTAAACCCTGGGAATTTTTGCAAACAGAAGGTAATAGGATTATCAGAATGCCTCCCCAGAAGGAACCACACCAGTTCAAAATGATTGCCTAGGAAAGTCACCACCTTCGGAGAAGATGCAAGTAAACAGTTATGTAACAGTCTGTGGCCAGTTTTGTAACGTCCTGATTCGATTTGTAGAAATAAATTATAAAAGCGGCAAGACAAGGTGCTGCATGGGTAAAACGTGATCTGTGTAATTTAGAACTGAGCCTGAAAATAGTTTAGACCCACTGTTTGATGGACAAAAACAGTCTGCATGATTAAAGATTGTTGACTCACTAATGAGCCAGTGATAAACAGGAGTCGCCATAAGGCAGGATATTAAGCAAGAGCAATGGTTGCTTGTTTGTAGCAATATTTTTGCATCTAAGCTTTCTGGTTTTCGCTAATAACTATATTCTAGTCATCCTGTCTTCATGGAAAGAGGAATCATTAGTATATTTTCTTATAACGTCAAGATGGCTGGTGTAAATAAGATATATAAAAGGTAGAATAGAAGGCTAATTTTAATAGTCTCTAAAATGTAGTGTTTTGAGATTTAAGTGGAATGCTAAATTTCAACATCTTTTGAAATCTTGGAAGTTAAACAGGAAATCAGTTGAGTTTGTTTTTTTTTTTACAGCCTTTCTAAAATCCTAAGGTTCTTTTTTTTTCCTCAAAAGTTCGTGTTTAATTTGTTTGGGTAATTTTGATCAAGAGGTAAAGGATGCCCATGGAATTTTCAGACAAAAGTCACTATCAGATAATTGATCCAGCCTGGTAAATTTGAAGGTTCTGTATTCTTATGATACAAAAGCTTTCCAAAGGTACAATTTTTTTTACACTTACCCACTCCTGTAAGAAAGGATGGTTTGGGTTTGTTTTGGTTTTATTCCTGAAGATCAGTAATAAAAGGAATAAATGATCAGATTGGAAGAAGAATAACACTTCATTATTCACCAGTCAGGAATTCTCTCAATGAGCTCACTCATCAGTCCCGAGACGCAGATCTTTCTCATAGTTTAACGCCTTCGTGGTCAGCATGGGCCTTACAAACAATGAAATTCATGATTTAATTAAACACAGATGGTTCCCTTCTTACTGACACGAAATATAACAATATGTCTTGCAATCAGTGGTGTCTTAGAGTCCATGGGAGAAGAATTAATTTTTTTAAACCTTTTCAGTGCTAATACTGAAATCGAATCTGGCAAACTGGTCACGAATTTTCTTGTAATGACAATGAAGGCAGCTTGGTTGTGGGGTCTGATGCTGAGGTCTTCTTGTGTTTAATGGAGAAATGTGGGAAATGCGTAGCTCATATTCTTGGAGAAATGAAGGAAACCACGTTCGCACGAGCAGTGATGAGAACTAGAGCCACTGCAGTGCTGCGCGGTGCTCACCATTTGTTTGGTTTTTATTTTGAGTCCTGAGCATCGATGGTGCACCGTGTGGACACAAGCTTCACACCACTGTCTTTCTGACGTGGTTCAAAAATCTGCATCGTGTTAGCACCACTTTGAGAAACTGGAAGCCAAATACTAATCTGCAGTAGCTGTGCTTCATTGCCTAAAAAAGTTTTCATTTGATTGCTTTTGCATGCGCTAAGGTGATTATCTGTGTTCTTTATTTTGTTTATTTATGGCATGTCTTCCTAAAATGCATATAAGGAAATAGAAAAGATATTTTAAGAGAAATACTTAGCATAGAGCTAAACCTTGATGTGGGAGTAATTGTGTACCCCATGGGACATTGGGCAATGTCTGAGACAGTTAGGCTGTCTTCACCCTTGGGGTGAAGGGAGATGTAAGTGACACCTAGTGGGGACACACCAGAGATACAGCTAAACATCCTACCATGCAGAGGATGATCCCCACAGCCATCTATGCACGGTGAGGAGCCCTTGTGGCTTAGTAAGTGCTTAGTAGAAGTTTTCTATTGTTATTTATCAAAATGAGTTTGTATAGTTATTTTTCAAGTTGATTTCTGCTTTGAAATAATGCCACCACTATAATTTCAGCAGTAACACCAGAAGAAAGTATATAAAATTCTTTTCCCCGTGTTCAAGGGTCTGTTATGATTCTCCAGATATCAGAAGTCCCACAGATTTTCTCTTTGTCTATGGAAGTAAGCATCAAGTTCTCATAGATTGGTGAGTTCTGTGCACTCGCCTTGTAGAGCAGGGAGCAGAGAGAGGTGGAACCCCGTGCTCAGTAGTTCAAAACTGACATTTTCCTTCAGCATCGCACAGACACTCTGTGCGAGGGTGATGAGGACCACATCAGTAGAGGCTGTGCAGACATCTTCCCACAAAGCAACCAAAAGGCACGCCGGACAAACGGAGAAAAGTCAAACACCATCACCACCTCCACGGTCACTCACAAGTCCTTCTGATGCTGTCTTAGTCCTGGATTTCAGCACAGATCTCTCAAAATGCATCAAACAAGGCTCTGTATGCAAGTTGCTGCCTCCCATGACAGCCCAGGAAGGACCGGTAAACACAGACAGGAGCAAATGGAGATGCATCCGTCTCGTTTTGAGCAGTGTAGATGGATTATTCAGAAAAGCAGGGTTTGTACCTTGCTATGCATTTAAGTTGTGTTACAACTCCTGAATGTGGTAGCTCAAAGCTGGCTCTGACATTATACATATCAGAGCCGGAATAACATATTACATAATTGAAGCTTCCTGTGTCTTAATTTGTCTTTTGAAAAATTATTGAATGCTATAAGCAGTGATTTTCTAAAATTGTAGATATTTATGACTCTTACACCTTACTTTCATTGAAGTACAAGTAATCTACAAAAAGAGGCTTCATTTACTTAATAGCCTAAATAGTACTGTACACAGTAAAAGTATTTAAATTTTTAAAATTTCCTTTAGATTACTAAAATATTATGAAATTTGGGGTGTATATATCAGCTCCAAACTCAAATTGTTTGCAATACTGTTATTTTTCTTTTGTATTTCTGTTTGGACGTTATTATTCTAGAAATGCACTCCTGTATTTATGAGACCAAATTCAATAGCCAAAATGGTGGTGGTAGCTCATTTGTTGTTGACGGTGGATGTTGTCTGAGCATTTCTGTCGTTTGTGAGGTAACTCTACCATGCTACAGTTCACTGTGTTTTTCCAGTGCAGCCAGTGAGAAATATTGTTCATGACACTCTCGTGGCCACCAAATAGCCACTCTCCGGGGACAGGGCAGTCCCTGGAGAATAGGGACCCTCCCATTCCACCCAGGACATAATCTCTTTGGAAGTCTGGTTTCTTGTGGGTCACAGACTCATTCAATCCAATTAATATAATTAAAGCCAAACAATATAGCAATGTTGATCCAAAATATTTTCTTCTCTTCCGCTAAGCTTTGATGTGAACCGTGAGCCACCCCCTGGCATAGACTCATCTGAAGCAATATAATTTCTTAAGTCACCCTCAGGAAGTATCACCTGTTTCCTTAAAATCTGAGCTAGAGAAAAGCTTCCAAGCCAGCAGAATCCATTGGGGTGCGCTTCTGGATAGGGAGTTTCTGTTAGCCCCAGGGGGAGCCCAATACTACTGCAGACAGGACAAGAATGTCTTTCTCAGTTAAAAGAGCTTCATTCTGTTCTTTAAGAAGACTTCCTCCTAGGAATACGGCTTTAATGTATGCTAAACTTGCTCTCTTAAAACCAGACGAATTAATGGAGCTCTGTTATCACAAAAATTTGGCAATAATTCTTAATAGCTAAGTGTTATAATGTGCTCTTTTTTCTAATTGAAGGTTGCCTTTCCTCTCTCACATTAAAACCTTATTAAAGACAGTAATTCTAGGCCTGCCCCTAGGTGAGATTATGAAACCCAGCAACGAGGAAACCATTAAAAAATTAATTTTGAGGAAAGTTATTGAAGATTTAATATGGTGTTTTACAACTTGGTCAACAAAATGTTTCAGCATGACTAATAGCATTTTTCAAGGGCTGAACACCAAAAGCCCAAGGAAATAGTTTTTCTTGCTGGTTTTTATTCTTTGTATTTTTATCTGAGGTTGTAAATAAACCTAAATACTTTAGTGGATTCCATGGTTTAAAAAAACTCTGTCTCCAGAAATAGGAGCAGAAAAGGAAGAGGCTGGAGAAAGTAATGCTACTTACACAGCCGCAGTATCCTTGGGGGTTTAATCTCCTTGGTTGTACCTTTAGTCTGCCAAGGAATTCATCGTACAGTACTGTGTCTCCCAGTTTTCGCGACGCTCACATTCTCTAGGAGAGGCATGGTTTAGAATTTTCTTTCCATGGGCAACATTATTTCCAGCTTGTGCTAAACAGTTCATCACAGTCTCTCCCAAGCTCCTTACCCTCCAAGACTCCCTTAACTCTCGAGAGCCCACCAGCGGTGCTTACCTTCCTCGCCCAGCCCCACTGAGAAGCAGTGAGCGCCAGGTTTCAGACCTTACCTGGGGTCCCTTCACTGGAAATTAGAAATTGTGAGAGCCGTGACGTCCTGGGGTTAAGTAGGAGCGTATCCCCTCCTCTGTGACCCCCACCCCCAGCGAGAGAGCCCCAGCACCCACCTACAAACTCTGCCTCCTCAGTGCTCCGTGTCCTGCGGCCGAGGTGTGCAGCAGCGGCGGGTGTCCTGTCAGATCGGAACACAGGAAGCAGCCGGAGACAGCGAGTGCAGCCCAGTCACCAGACCGGAGGCACAGCGCGCCTGCCAAGCCCCACCGTGCCCGCTGCACACTTGGAGGGCAGAGCAGTGGCAAGAAGTAAGTAGGGCCATGAAGCCCACACCTGCCGGGCACGCGGCTCCGCCCCCTGGCCAACATCACGTCCGTCCGCTGGGAAGCCTGCGAGGCCGTGGGGCACAGGGGCCTTGCTAGCTCCTTCCCAGCAGGTGTGCTGGCGCTCCGGAGCATGCTCTGGTGGGGGCGGGGGTGCGGCATCGACGTGCTTCCCATGTCTGCTGTATTCCCGAAGGGTGACATTCAGCAGGGCCACGGAAAGGACCTGCAGGTGGGATTTGGGCCCTGTGCGTGCATGCGGAGAACTTTCGCAGAAGGAAGGGCAGCTGGGAGGGGTATTTTAAATCCGTGCTCCAGATGTGATCCTTCCATATGAGTCTGGACACCAGAAGACAGACTATAAGTGGGACCTCCTTGTATTTTTCCCCTTTCTGTGACTTTGGCTGTCAGCTAAAAAGCCAGCCACTCGTGTGAAACCCAGATTAATTAGTGAAGGATTTCTCAGGATTCTAAACAATGAGGGAATCTAAAGAAACTGCTTAGTTGATGCAGTCTATCCAGCTGATAAACTAGAGTTGCCCCACACCCCCTCACCCCCACTCCAAGTTAATATCTGACTGGAAAAACTACGGAACATCCCTGGAGCAAAGTCTGGCTTGGAAGGTAAGCCGTTAGCAGGAGGGAGCCTCGGCTTCCAGGACAGGATGTTTCATTGTAGCAAGCAAAGCCATTCCCACTGACACTGGGATGGAATCAAGTGTGTGCTCTCTGACGTGCAAAGATCTGAGTCACAAGAAGGCGTTCCCACAGCAGAGTGGCTTTCAGGACACGGTGAGCGTGACAGTGCTGGGCCCGTTGTCCCATACTTGCTGCTGTGCTGAGCGTCACACACTTCATTCTTTTAGCCACTGGGCAGACGACATGAGGAGTATGATCCTCGTCATCACCATCCCATTTTGCAGATGTAATAACTGAGGTTCTGGGAATCTGTGTCTTCTGTCCAAGTGGTGCATACCTAGCAAGCGAGAGAAGTGAATCAGTGCGAAGTGTGTTGTCTTAAACCGTCATGAGGTTGACCACCTGCACTCTTCCCCCTGGGGTCCGGCTCCCAGCCTGTCCTCCCCAGCCCCTCCATTCTGATGGATTAATTCCACTGACCAAGTCGTCTCTTTCCTTAGGGATCTCCTTTTGTCCATATCTGCTCCGTCTTTTTGCTTCGTTTTTCTTCTGGATTTCTGTACTTCCATGAGAGGACGGCAGGGAGGGATGCTTAAAGCAGTGACCTTTCTGGTAAACTGCACTTGAGACTCATGCACTCTTAGGAATCGGGATACTTGGAATAAACAGACCTACTGAAATCCCAGCTCAGCCTCTCATTAGCCAGGTGACTGGAGCAGGGGCCCTTCCTTTCTCTGAGCCTTGATTCTCCGTCTGTAGGATGGGCTCCAACGACATCTGCACCGAGTCGTTCTGAGACCATCAGAGGGAGGAGCCTCTTGTCAGTTATGGTTTGAGCGTGGCAGTGTCAGAAGCAGCAGAAGAGGGAGGAGGAGTTTCCTGTCTCCCTCCCTTGGCGGAGGCTCCCGGATCATTCCGACTCCTGTTTCAGATCCCCCGCCCGAAGCTGCCCCTTCCTCCTCCTCCCTCCCCCTCCCTCCCCCTTCCCCCCCTCCCCCTCCCTCTTTATCTCCTGCCAAACTTGCCCCCCCCCCTCCGTGTGGTGCTCTGAGCAGCGGGAAGCGAGAGGGCATTCAGAAGGGAATTGAAGCTGACGGCTGGCACTTGAGCCAGCTTTCCAACGCGCGGGAGCCGGTCCCAGAACTCAAGCTCCGTTTAGAATTCCTTCCTAATCCCGAAGAACGGAAAACCCTTGCCACATAGGCACTGAGGAAGTTCCTCTTCTCCAGTCACACTGAGCATGCCAAGAAGTTCGCGTCTTGCATGTGCCGTGCAGATGGGTCTGTTTAAGTCCTTCCTCCGATTCCGCTCTCCATCACAGAGCAAGAAGCACAGACCTAGGAGGTGGTCTGCCCAGGCCCTGCATTTAAGGAGTGTTTCAGAGGTTAGTCCTTCTCGTGCGAAGGAAAGCTTCGTAGCAACCAGGAGGCAGGTTCACGGTGAGCGCCTCTGCCGGCCCCAGGATGGGGTGGCTGAAAGAGGACAGGGTTCGGGGGTGGCTGACCCCGAACGGGGAGAGTGAGCTCCAGGCAGGAGCAGGGAGTCGGGCCGGCCAGCCGCTGAGGGCTCAGAATGCCCTGACTACAGCAAGGCTTACAGAGAGTGTCGCCTCTCTAACCCTGTGTCATTAATGGAGGATGGCCTGCCATCCGGATCGGGACGGGGTGACGCAGTCCCATCCGCCTGGAGCAGCCCTGGTGTAATTATGAATTGTCCTTACTTTCTGGATCCCAAGTGTCCGATGAAACAGTACCTGGTGGCCCTCTTCTGACCCCAGGCCCCCCGAGTCCCGGCCCGGCCCTGCTCGTCTCTCCCCACCCTCTGCGCACCTGACACCGCTCAGTGGCCTCAAGCCCAGACCGCAGCGCGTGCTGCAGCTGCCGAGCCTGCAGAGCGGGGCGTGCGGGCACCTCCTGCTCAGGAAGCCCCTCTCCTCGTCTGCAGGGCTCGGCAACCTTGCGGGTGTGCCTTGTGGGAGTGCACTGTCCTTCTAGCTCTCCTTCATGGAGTACACCTGCCCTGAAAAGCACAAGTTCTGCGCACTCCCCAAGGCCTGATGGTCAGGGATGTCTCTCACAGCTGTACAGGTTGTGCACTGCACAGCTCCGGGCAGTGCCATTCCTATAGACTTCCATGTGAGGGGACCTCCCCACCTTCTCCTGTTCGGTGGCCCTGGTACTGACAGGAAGAATTTACAGAGCTGTGGGCCAGGCACCAGGTGATTTTTACGCGAAGTCCCTCACTTAACCCCTTCCGTAGCCCAGGATGCACTTGACGTGGGCACACTGGGGGCTGAGGTGACACATGTCGTAACAAGGCCAGAGCTGGGGCCCAGCACCCTGGCCTCTGGAACCCACTCAGTGCTCACAGACATGGCCCCGTCGCCCTGTGCCTCAGGAGGATCGGTCATTTCTTCTCCACGACCTCTCAGGCCCCGCAGTGGAGAACTGCTGTTGAGTGCGTTCCCTCTGCTGGGCCACAAGCTCTGCCCAACGTCTGCAAGTACCATGTTGGCCCACCTGGGGCACGGGCAGAACGTGCGCTCCACCACCGGAAGGCCCGATGCCCTCCGTGCCTCTACCTGGCGCCCTCGGGAAAGAGCCTTGATGCCAGCAGGGCGGAGCCTGCATGAGTGGGGCGGGGCAACCGCAGGAGCAGAGGCCTCTGTCCAGGGTCACGTCTCGTCTTGTTTACGTCCTGGACGCGACACGTTGTGAACGAAAGACCACTTGACGTGCAGCCCTGGGAGGCTGGCTTTGTCCTGGCGCTCTGCTGATGCCTGTGTGTGGCCCTGGGGTTTGGAGTCGGCCTTTGCACTGAGCTCCAGTCCCAGCCCTTGTTTGCTTGCTTGCTATTTGTTTTAAATCACTAAGTTGCCCTGGCTGAACTAAAAGTGCAGGCCTCCTGCCTCAGTCTCCCAGAATGCTGGGCTTACAGGCCTGCCCAGCTCGCCCAGCTCGGGAGCTGGCTGTGAATTGCAGGACTCCAGCCCTTGCGTCTGCAGAGGGTGATTACACGGCCGGCGCTGAGTCCCAGTGAGGATGAGTGGGATTGGGCCGGGGGTCCAGCACGGTGCCTCGCCGGCCTCGGGCCTGCCCACACCCCATGCCGCTTCTCTTTAGCACCGCAGCCCCCGGGGAGGGTTCTGCGGAGCCAGTGCCTCGCCAGCTTGGCCTTTGCACTGCTGCCGACTTCAGGCCGGTGCTGTGTCCACTCGGGGCTGTCTTACTGATTTGAGAATTGCAGTGCTATGAGGCGGTGCCAGAGAACAATACGAAAAGCTTTCAGTTCTTTCGAGAACCGTTTTCGTCTAGGATTTACTTCTTAAGGTTATCATCTGCTGTGTAAATTCCCGTGCAGCCGCAGTCACCCCTCGGTCAGATTCGGGGTGTGAACACAGGGTTGTGCCCTTCAGCACTGCGCACCGCTCTCCCGAGTCTTGCAAGTGTTTTCTGTTGGTTTCTGTGTCTTTAACGAGAGAACTCGGTTCCCTCCCAGCACCCCTGCACCTCGAGGCCGCCCTCTGGCCTCACCCTCTGTCCTCACCCTCTGTCCTCACCCTCTGTCCTCACCGTGGCCCCCTGGCTTCGTCCTTTGGGGCCCCAGTGAGGGGTCACTTCCCGTCAGAAGCCTTTGCTGACGGGGCTTCCCCGCTAGCAGCCCCGTCTGCACCCTGTGATCGCTGCGCCCTCCTGATGGGCACCCGGGTCAGCACTGCCTCCTTCCCGTGTCGCTGTTAGCGGCTGGTCCAGGGAGGGCGTCTGGGCACCAGGATTTGCTCCAGCGTGGGGCACACGTCTGCCTTTGAACAAGTAGTGTGCGAATGATTGAAGGGACAGAAGGTGACGGAGCGGAAGGAGGGACGGGAGGGTTCCCGGGGAGGACACAGACCCCGCCCGCTGCTCCGCCTCTTAGGGTGTGACATCCGAAGTGTCTCCCGGACCCGGGCGCGCTGTCGGTGCCGCAGCGGCTGCCGTGTTTTCCTGTCACGGGGCCACGGACACGCTGCCCTGGCTCGGCCTGTCCACGCACGCCACTCGCCCTGGGGCTGTGTGGCCGGGCGCAGGGACTCGGGCCTCTCTCGTACGTGTGTGTAGCTGGGGGATTTTTATCGGAATCAGCTGTGGAATGAGTCCCAAGTTGTCTCCGTAGCACAGAAAAATTAGAAGTGAACAGCAGGTCCTTGGCTGGTTGCCTGAAAAGATTTTCATGAAGTTTACCGTGGGGGAATGACCAGAGTTAGACGTGCACACAGGGCAAGATATTCACCCTTTATTATTCATTTCCTCATTAACTTCTCCAAAAATTTATGTTGATCACTCTTCCAAAGTGCCAGGTGCTAGGTATTAGGAATGCTCTTGAAACTCCAAACCTCAGATCACATGATCTGCGGGACCCCAAATGTGGGCACTTCTTGCCTCCAGCCCCTCCCCCACCAAAACTCATCTCCCAGCTCCTCCCGCTGCTGCCTGAGCCGCCCTTCAGCACCCCGGGGACCCCCCACCCTCCTTCCTCCAGGAGGAAGACGCCTCTTCTTCCCCGGTGATTCCTTACTGTGTCACTCTCAGGGAACCCACGGCTGCCTGCACCGCTGTGCACCACCGTCCTGGGTGTCAAACCCCGGGGTCCCCAGTGAGCAGCCGAATGACCCTTGGGACCCTGAGCTGAGAGAGGCTGCCCCCCCCACCCCGTCACCACAGGGAGTGAAGTTGGCTGCTGCCCAGGCCCCAGCACAGAACTGGGCCCAGCCTAAATATTGGCTGAAATGAAACGTCTCTGCCTCCTTTATCCATGAGAAGTGTGGTATTTGGGAGCAGGAATGCCCAAACTCCACATACCTGACTTTAAAATGAACTTTCTGAATAGACTCCAGTAGTAATTTAAGTCCTGGGGGTTTTTGCTTAAAATTTAAAGCAAAAGCTAAAAACAAAAGAATGAGTTGTCCTTGCTGGTGTCCCTTATGACATAAAACGAACACAGCACATGGGACCCTGCGTTGTCCAGTTCCCGGTTGGGTTCTGGGACTTGTCCATCAACAGACTGTCCAGCAGGGGCAAGCTGAACTAAAAATGACAAACTCATCCTTGGAGAAAATCAGCAACCTTAACAGACAGAGCCTGTATCAAGTGATTTTCTTTCCCTCATAGTTAGGAAACTGCACCAAAAGATATACTTGAAAGCGTAAAGCAACTTGATTACAATCTTTAAGGGAAGATGATTTCTACCTATTATATTAAATGACCCTTTTTAGACCACCACCCTGTGGCCAGCCTACCATGGTGAATAAAATCGTACCTTCAGAGTTTCTTTTAGATCCTCTTTATCCTCAAATTTGGGAAATCATTCCTCCTCACCCCCATTAATTTCAGCATGTTTGAAGGACGCAGGGCATGCTGCGTACGTCAGGCCAGCACCGGGGTTATTTACATCTTGAGTCACAGTGTGTACAAAAATTCATGGAGGCCGTGTGTGACTTACATATTTGGTGAGGTTTTTCTCTAAGAGGCATAATGTCATCTGAGGAAACCGTTTGGAAATTAAAATGAGACTACTGCAATCTTGACCATTTTCCAGAACACTCTGGATCATATTCCGGGACTGGGGAAAGAGTCATAAATCACAAGGGGCAGGGAGGGTGAGTTCCTGGGTCTGTTCTCTGGTTGTTCAGCCCACACGGCCTGCTTAGGATGTCAGATTCCGGGAGAAAGCACCGGCCATGTGATTTTCAGAGCTGCTGTTAGCTACTCTCAAAGCATGGGGTAAGATACTTGCAAACCTAGTTTAACTTATAATTTTCCAGAAAGCTACATTTGAGCTAAGTTTTCCCAGGTTCCTTCCTACTGCTGGCAAAATAATTCTTCTGGTAGTTAACCATTCTCCAAGGCTGAGGGAGAAAACACCCAGCGAGCAGAAATCCTTCGGGAGTCGTGGCGTTTCTGCCCTGGGTGGTTACTCATTGACCCAGAGCGCAGCCAGTGGTGAGTGACCAGGAGCAGGGACCTGGGGAACCCAGTCCGGGTCTCACTACTTGGTTATCTTTGGAGTCTGAGGAATTACTTTCTCTCTGGGCAGTGAGGTAGCATGAAGTATCTCTCCTGCAGATATCTGCACATCACAGAGTAACTTTTTATTTGGTTGCTAACGTTCAGCAGCTAACTCATTTTTTCATTGGAAAAACAGAAACAGTACTTTCTCACAGTGCTTTCGAGCTTACTGCAGGAAAACCCAAAGCCCCTGAGCCCGGGTGAGCGGAGCTCTGCGGTCCACCAGCCTCCTGACCTCCGCACAGAGCAGGAAGGTCGCACTGCTAAGTGGGGTTTGCTGTTGGTGAGAGGAAATAGTACAAGGACTCTGAGGCAGCAGAGCGGTCATCCTGGAGTGCAGCAGCTGCCCGCTTGCCCTCTGTCCTCTCGCGGCTCACGGGAATAAACACGCGTGACCAGGGGCACTTTACCGAGGCTCTCAAAGTCCCGGTCTCTGCAGGTGAGAAATGCAGCTCGCGGTGGTTCCGAAGTCTCCTCGCCATCCCTGGGGCGCACATGTGAGCCTCTGTCTGAGAACACAGGACTCGCTGCTCACCTTCACTCTGCCCCTTGGGACCCACCCACGTCGTGGCCCTGGGAGTGAAGGCGGTGAGCAGCTGCTGGGAGACTGCAGACCGGAGGACAGGCTGGTGGCCCCAGAAACCCTCTCCCTTCCTGTTGGAGAGGGGCTGCTCTATGAGAGGAAAACTTGTCCTTCGTCCTCCTGGGGGTGACTAGAGCCTGCAGAGCCCAGTCGAGCTCTGTGCTGTGAGGGTGATGGATGTCTGCACATGGGCTGGTGCTCCTGGCACTAGAGGTACGCCACTCTGGTAACCACGGGTTATGTGCGTGTGTGTGTGTGTGTGTGTGTGTGTGTGTGTGTGTGTGTGTGTGGTACTGGGGACTCAACCTGGGGCTTCACATTGAGCTACATCCCCAGCCCTTTTTCATTTATTTGGAGATAAGATCTCACTAAGTTGCCCAAACTGGGCTCAAACTTGCAGTCCTCCTGCTTCAGCTTCCCAAGGTGCTGGGGTTACAGGCATGTGCCACCATGCCCAGCTAGACCCTATGTTTTGTTTTAATTTAATGTAATTAATTTAATTTAGTTAATATAACTTAATACTCTGGGCGAATGTGGCATCCACAGGCCTGAAGGTCCTTCCGTATTTAAGACTCACCCGCCCGTGCTTTCTGCGCTTCATCCAGCCAGCCACATCCGGAAGACTCCCCGCGGCGGTGGCTGGGTGAAGCGAGGCCCTCTCTGCCAGCCCCTGCCTGGTGCCGCCGTCCCGGAGGCCCGTGGACAGGCGGTCGCACGCTGGCGGCCCCCCGCGAACGGGCCGGCTCCCATCTCCGGCTTTTCCTCTGCAGTGCTCCAAGACCTGCGGCGAGGGCTCCCGGCTGCGCCTCGTGCTGTGCGTGGACGAGGATCAGGCCGAGGTGCACAGCAGTCTCTGCAGCGCCAGCCCGCGGCCCCCGGACCGCGAGAGCTGCAGCGCGCAGCCTTGCGAGTACGTCTGGATCACGGGAGAGTGGTCGGAGGTAGGTCCCGGGCGCGCGTCTGTTCCTCTTCAGGTGAGCCGCCGGAAGGCAGCAGCTGGGGCGGGGCCCAGACCTCCTGCCCGTCCTGCCTGGTCCGGCCTGCACGATAAGGGTGGGCTTACCACGGGAGCTGGGCATTCATGGGCGCCGCTGGGTGCCGGGCAGGGGAAGTCAAGAAAGCGTCTGGGTGTCGGAGCGGACAGGGAGGAGCGGGGGCGGGGACCAACAGCACTTGCTGCCCAGGGGGCGTAGGCTCTTCCTGCCCCGCAGCGGCCAGGCAGAAGTGCGGGTCCCAGCCCGGTCCCTCAGGAGAGAACCAGGACTTTCCTAGCTTGAAAACGTGGCCCTGATTTTCTGTTTAAAACACTGCAGGCAAAACCAAACACTACTGGTGAGCCAGATGCCGTTGCCCACTTAACCGCCTTTGCCCCACCCAAAGAACCTCAGGTGTCTCTTTTTCTCACATCTTCCCTGTGCCCGCCTGGGTACCTTTCATTATTAATTGAACAAAGGCAATGATAGCATGATTGTCTTATTTTCAAACTACCAAATTTTCAACAACTAAAAGATGCGTCATACCAAAAACAGTCGTCCTTTACCCAAACGCAGAGATTCAGAAGGGAAGTGGCTGGGTTCGCGGGAAAGGTGCTGATGAGTTCAGGAAGGTGCTGGTTACCATGGGGTCTTGCCAAAGCTGTACAGTGCAGAGCTGCCCCTTTAATGGGAGTATTCGTTCTAGCTGGTGTGTCTGCGGGTGTCAGATGTGTCTGTCTTAAAACTGCCCTAAAGTCTGTTTTAGCCGCGGCTCTCCATCCTGTAGTCTGTGCCAGTAATTTTATTCTCCAGGGGATGTTTAGCAACCTCCAGGGATGGGAGTTATCACCCGAGGGCTGAGGTATGGGAGGAGCGCCTTGTGGGTGGAGCCAGGGACGCTGCTAAGCCTCCTGCAGTACGCAGGGCTGGCCCTGTGGACAGACGAATGCCTGCCTGATGTGCAGGGGGCTGAGACCGGGAGCCTCCCGCCCCACAGTGCACCTCGGGTAGCACCGTGGGCGTTTAAAGGGTGAAGGGGGCCCTGATCAGACCACTGGGAAAGAGGCCTGCAGCTGGGGCCACATGGGTGCTGGGGAGCAGTGGGAACAGCTCCTGACATGGGGTCCCCACCAGATCCCGGGGCAGCGTGGGCCTGGGAGGGGATGCCTGGGCCTGGCTCCTCTTTGCCCCCCTCAGCCCATCCTGCTTCTCATCAGGCATGGTCCCTAACTGTGGCTCCCAGGGCTGCTGCTTGAGGCACCCCTGGCTCTAGCCAGGAAGAGCTCTCCATCTGCACTCCCGCCTTCCCTCTGCAGGTCCCCTCAGCCCTTACCTCCTGGGGACATTCCCTTCTCAGCCGTGGCTGGATTCCTACATGGCTGGAGTTGCTACACCACCCACTGAGCCAAGACTGATGCCCCCCATCCCAGGCTCTCATGTGCGGCTCATTATGTGGAAGGAGTTTTGGTCTTTCACGACTTGGGCCATGCTGCTCCTCCAGCTTTGATGTAAAGTCAGTCTGACATAGGAGACAGAAGGTGTCTGTGAGGAACACTCCCATACTTCACAGATTTTCAGGTGCATTGTAGACTGGAAAATCTGCAAACTTAACCAGGTGTGGTGGTGCACGAGGGTAATCTCAGCGCTGTGAGAGGCTGAGACAGCAGTGTGGCAGGTTTGAGCCCAGCCTGGGCAACTTAGTAACTTAAAGAGACGCCTTCTCCTAAATGAAAGGGGGCCAGGGTGCTGGGGATACTGCTCCATGCCGACGCCCTGGATTTACTCCTCAGGACTGAAAAACAGCCTGCAAATACATAGGCAGACTAGAGGGTTGCAGGCAGGACTAGGGCCTGGCACAAGCAGAGATTGCAGGGGAGCGAGCCTGCGAGGTGCAGGGGGTGGGCGCAGGGGGTGGGCACAGGGTCCAGACAGGCTGCAGTGCAGGTGGCACAGCCCAGCATGCCTCCTTCCCGGGCCTGCGCTGCTGTGGAGAGCTCTGGGTGGCCTGCGTCTGCAGAGGCCTGGGCCAGACGGAGAGGCCTGTGTCACTGGGGACGCGTGTGTGCCACGGAGGCCGAAAGGGCACGGTGGAGCTTGGCCCTCACCTGCCAGCTCTTTCACTTTGCTCTGCTTCTACTTTAAGATGAAGAGTACACAAAGCTCACGCACAATCAGGCACGTAAGACCCAGACTCTGTTATCTGCGCTCGCCTCCCAGGGAGGAGCTGCTCACACTCTTGGTCTGAGTGGGAAACGGCGGGAGGAGGTCGCAGGTAGTGACTGCACGTTCCCACAGTGGCCAGCTGGGACAGTCTGTTCTTTCCAGGACAGTCTGTCCTTTCCAGCTGCTTTGCAGAGATGGGGAGGCCCCTGAGTCAAGCGGACCATATTTGGGGCTCAGTTGCATCAGCAGATGCCCTCCCCCACAGTGTCCCCCACATAAATGGCCAGAGGATTGCTTTTGCTCCCGTGGATCAGGGTCAAGGTCTTGGCACCTGGCGTCTCAAACATACCACTCGCTGAAGTCAGTTCTGTCTGACGTCAGCACGTACGCGTGCTGGGCCAGGCCCCACGGGACACCACGGCAGGGGTAGGCAGCTTGTTGGCATCTGTCCACGCAGGGGCACTGAGCCGGCCTGCACTTCCTTGGCCTGGCGTCAGCCGGGCCTTCTGGCATTTGAACAGCAGCGGCCAAAGAAGGAAGAAATGTCCGCGCTGCATTTCCAGGGCTTGAGCCAGCTGGAGAGGAAGCCTGGAGCTGCTCTGCACGCCTCGGGCTCAGCGTGTTCCCTCCTGCCTCTAGGACTTCGTCAAGGCAAAGCTTCTCCTTGGCAGTGTCACAGGAGAGGAAAACCACGGAGCTTAAAACAGTGGGCCAGGAGAGGTCAGGGACAGGTGGACATGGGCTTCTAACCCCCTTGAGGACTGAGGAAAGCTGTGGTCCCTTGTCCCAGGACACGCGTAACACACAGGGTGCTGCTTCTGGGAGCTCGCCTGGCCCTCCCTGAAGACCTTGGGGTCTGGAGGATGCACACGTGCACCCCAATTTTACTCAGGGATGAGTTAATGACTTACCATAACTACATGAATTATGTAGTTTCATAACTCAGTTTTATTTTTAAATAGAAACAGAAAATACTTTGATAGGGAAGTGGGACATATGGTAAAAGTTTTATCAATAACTCATTCAATGTCCCATCACAGAATAGAGCAGTGAGATACATGTTTCTTCTCTTCCTGTGTTGGTTAAATATTTTTAAGTGATGTATAGTCACGGTAAAACCGTGTGTTTTAGGCAGAGAGCAAGATAGGAAAGCAGAAAAGTGACAGGTTGGTCAAGATACTAGGCCAGCCCAAAACACAGCCCTGCAGACCACTACGGGGGACAGAGGACGCGGAGGAAGCCCACATAGCCTCAGCCCTCTGACTCTGGACAGAGGGCCGCATACATACATATACATACATATATATACATACATATACATACATGTATAGGAGAAAAGACAGCCCCCTTAAGTGGTACTGGGAAATGGGACACCCTGACGCAGAAGACTGGAACTGGATCTTTGTACAAAAATCAATTCCAAGTGGATCAGAGACCAAAGTCTAAGACCTGAAACTTTGAAACTGCCAGAAGAAAAGATAGGGCAAGCACTTGAAGCCAAAGGCACGGCAAAGACCTCCTGATTAAGGCTCCAACAGCACAGGAAAACATAGCGAGAATCAACAGACAGGGCTGCGTCCAACTAAAAAGTTTCTTCATGGCAAAGGGAAGAGCCAAGCAGCCTACAGAATGGGAGAAATCTTCAGCAGCCACTCTGACAGAGGATTAATATCTAGAATAATGTATGAAAAAAATGCTCACCATCTGTGGCCATCAGGGAAATGCAAATCCGAACTACGCTGAGATTCCAACTCACCCTCTTCAGAACAGCTGGCAGCAAGAAAATAAAAAAGCAATAAATGCTGGTGAGAGTGCGGGTGGGGGCAGGGTGAAACCCTCCTGCTCTGTTGGTGGGAGTGTGTATTAGTGCCGTCACTGAGGAGGTTGGCGTGGAGGTGCCTCAAACACTGAAAAGAGAGGTCCCAGTTGGCCCAGCCAGCCACTCTTGGATGTATTCCCCAAAGAATTAAACAGCATGTTGTAGTGATACTTGTACCCCCACCCACACGGACTGCAACACGGATCACAGCAGCTGAGCTATGGGAATGGCGACCCGGCAGCAGACGAAGGGATGAGGAAAACGTGGCACATACACACAGCGGAGCACCCTTCAACCATACGGAAGAGAGGTCCTGTCGTCTGCAGAAAAGGGGTGGAGGTGGGGCACATCACGTGAAGCAAAATGAGCCCGAATCAAAAGGTCAGATGTCGCATATTTTCCCCATGTGGAATTTTTTAAAAGGGAGAAATGACAGGACAGAAGGAGGAAGAGGACTGGAGTGAGGGCGAGGGGTGGGGGGCCAACAAACCAAAGTATTTACGAGACGGGGCCGTGGACGAGACAAAGCCACTGCAATGGGTGACTAATGTGCACTGAGCTTTTATACAAAAAAGACATCCTAGCAAAGCACCGAAGCGCCGTACCATCACAGTGAAAAGCAGGCCTTCACACTGAATAAATTTTGTTTGCTTTGCAAAAATAAAACAAAAACAGGGGGCCGGGGATACAGCTCAGCTGCACGGCGCCTGCCTGGCAAGCACGAGGTTCTGAGTTCGACGACCGGTACCAAAAATAAATAAGTAAATAACAAAAGAACAACAAGAGCAAATACCCCAACAGAGAAGGAGAAGGAGGGGAGGGACACCACCCCAGGGGCGCCTGTAGCTGAGTGCCTGGGCCCACACTCAGAGTGCTGCACGAGGCTGGCTGCGGGCCCTCTGGTGGCCTCCCGCCCTGGTCCTTGTAGGTTTGGAAGAGCACTCTGCTGATAGCCAGGGCCCCTCATGCCCTGCTGCCCTGAATACCTACCCAGAGAAGGGCTCCAGCGGCCTCTACCGAGAGAGCCAGCCTGGGTGGCCGCTGCCCAATTGCCTGTCCTAGGTGCCCGGGCACGCACGGGGCAGCGGTCCAGTCTGTCTTTCCCGAGCTGTGTGAACCAACCCTTCTGGTCTCTCCCTTTCCAGTGCTCAGTGACCTGCGGCAAGGGCTACAGACAAAGGCTGGTCTCCTGCAGCGAGATTTACACCGGGAAGGAGAACTACGAGTACAGTTACCAGGCCACAGTCCACTGTCCGGGCACACAGCCCCCCAGTGTCCTGCCCTGCTACCTGCCAGAATGTCCCGTCTCGGCCACCTGGAGAGTTGGCAACTGGGGCAGTGTAAGTCCATGCCTGAGTCACCAAATTTGAAAGCTCAGGCCTCATAGGAGAAGTGCTGTGTGGTCGTCAGCACTGACCGAGTGACAGGAAGAGAAGGGACAGGTGACCCAGTACCGGAGCAGAGCGCAGGCTCCAAAGCTGCAGCCTGGAGCTGACCCCTGCGTCCACACCTCCAGGGAAGGCCCAGGGCAAGGTGCAGAACCTTTCTGTCCCAGGGTCCTCATCTACAAAATGTGCGCTGTGGAACTCAGTGAGCTAATACGCAGACGGCACTTGAGGCACAAGGCCGGATGATGCATTACAGATATTTTGCCTCAACTTGTAAAAGCATTGAGAATCTACCACTTAGTAAGACGTGCACAGGGTGAGTTTTTACTGCTTCTATTGTTAAGGAGCCTGCAGATTCTCACTGTACCGTGTTGGGAGAATGTCTCTGAATTCGGGGGACAACAAGACAGAATAACTCAAAGTGGGTCTGCCCCAGAAAACTGCCCCAGCCCCTGGCTTTGGGCTCTGAGGTCTCAGTCTTGGACAGTGAGCAGTGAGCAGCAGGTGAAAGTTATTAAGGTGTGGCTTCTGCTCTGTCACGACCTTGAGCAAATTCCTTAACACTTTAGCATCGGTCTTCTAGATATGTTATAGATGTAAAATAAGAGAGTGATAGTTCTGCCTCAGCGGAGCACGGTGCAGCTTGAGTGGAAAAAAATTGTTATGCGGTATGATAGAAAAATAGAGTGAAAGTTTAAAGTTTTAAAAAATGTATTATAGTAAAAGATACCTTCCCGTGAATCCCCCTCGGAACCCACCCCTGGTTTCAGACACACTTAGGCCAGCGTTCTTGCGCTCTCTGAAGCCATGCTGGAGTCTTCTCTCATGCGTATTGTTGAACTACCAAGGTTGCTTCGGTGTCCTACACTGATTTCGTGGGCATTCTGACTCTGCTGAAGAGACAGAAGTTGCACAGTGTCAGATCCAGTGAACAAGTGGACGAGGACACAGCGTGACGTTTTACAAGCCTGCTTCTGTGCACGGCCCCGGGCCCCCGCGTTCACCATGCTGTTACCACACCTTGTACAGACTCCCAGGACCACTTCAGAAAGCAGCAAGGCTGATGAAATAAGTGTGCCTGAGAATGGAGGGGAAAGATTTTGAGGGGGATTAGTGGCAGTGTGTCTTCCACAGTAACACATCTTAAAATATTTGACTATTTTGACCCTGTCATGTGTCTATATGTCTATACATACATATACATACATGTAACTTTGGACATGTACATTGTGCACCTTCTTTTGTATGTCTGTGTGTTTATGTACACACAAGTCAAGCGTGGCTCAGGCTGGCCCATGGCGAGCGCTCCCTGATGCCAGCTCTGTGCTGTCAGCAGCGTGGGGTCAGCGCTGTCGCCCTCTCCGTGAGCCCAGGGCTGCATGCTGATCTCGCCTTGCCTCGCAGTGCTCCGTGTCTTGCGGTGTCGGAGTGATGCACAGGTCCGTGCAGTGTTTAACCAACGAGGACCAACCCAGCCACTTATGTCCCCCTGACCTGAAACCAGAAGAGAGAAAAACCTGCCACAGTACTTACAACTGTAAGTTACCCAACCGAAGCCATCTGCGTTTAGCTCGAAGAGCTGCATTTCTTTGTTCATTTATTTGCCTGCCATCTTTGCACATGTAGCACTGCTGTTAAAGAAATCCTCGCCTTCGCTAAAACGTTTTAGTGTGAACAGTGTAAGCCACTCCCTGCTGTTGTGGTCGGCATCTTACAGGTGAGTTGCCTCAGAGCTGCAAGGAAGTCCGTGACCTCGGTGGGGCCAGTGAAGATGGTGAATATTTCCTGATCGTTAGAGGAAAGCTCCTAAAGGTGAGTTATAGCAAGCCCTTCCTGGTCCTCGCTGTGGCCCAGGAAGTTTATATTTGTCATCCCATGGAAAAGTTACTGGAATTCTAGCAAATTAATTCCAGTCTACCACTTCCAGTGCAACCCAAGGTGAGGACAAAGACACCAAGGCATATTTGTAGTCATGGGGAGGCAAGGGTCCCAAGTCCACTTACGCTGATGGGTAACCAGAACGGAGGTGTGGGTCCAAGGCTGAACCTGGGTTTTATTCGTTTGTGAAGAAGGGAGTGGCTTGAGGCTGAGTGACTGTGAGAACGGGGGGAGGTAGATGAGTGCTGTGAACTGGGCTAGGTAAGGGCCTGGGCTAGGTAAGGGCCTGACAGCACCTCTGCAATGTGCAGAGAGAGGATATGCAGAAGGGGTAATCGGTATAACACAACTGAGGTAGTATCCAGTGTTTTGAGGTCAGTCTTCAGCTCTGATGTGTCATCTTCTATGCCCTGGGAAGTCACAGCCTCTTATCCGGAAGCTCAGTCCCAGCGTGGGGCGCTGGAGCATGGCTCTCCATCCTGCCCAGCTCACACCTGTTCATTTGGGAGCTACGGGGCAGGGCAATGCTGCCCTGTCGCTGTGCTTCAAAGACCATACATCAGCACCTCGCTGGACTGATTTGCACTGCTTCAGGCCAGTCGAAGGGATAAGAAGTCCTAGCCAGCTCTGTACATATCAGTACATGGAAGTACGTCCAGGTTTAGCCAAAATGGAGATAATTGCTCTTCTTCTGAGGAAAGTGGCCCAGGTGGCCCTCTACAGAATGTCAGCTACCAGTTGTTACTTTGGGAACGCCCTAGACCCTGTGCCTCACTCCCGAGGCACTCTTCCTCAGTGGCTTCTGGTCTGCCTTTCAGATATTCTGTGCAGGGATGCAGTCCAACCGCCCCAAGGAGTATGTGACGCTCATTCACGGTGACTCTGAGAATTTCTCCGAGGTGTACGGGCACAGGTAGGAGACCAGGCTCAGGAGAGCTGGGGTGTCCAGAGATTCCTAGGAAAATGTCCCCATCTTTATCAGACGTTCTCTCCGAAACTCAGGTTGCACAATCCAACGGAATGTCCCTACAACGGAAGCCGTCACGACGACTGCCAGTGTCGGAAGGATTACACAGCAGCTGGGTTTTCCAGCTTCCAGAGAATCAGGATAGACCTGAGCAGCATGCAGATCATAAGTGAGTTCCTCCCTGTCTCCGCTCAGTCAGCACCTGTGCTCTGCACCTGGCCAGGGCCAAGGTGTGAGGGTGCAAAGAGGGGCAGGGGAGGAGCTCAGGTCCTGTGGTGGCCCTCGCAGGCGGGGCCCTGACCTCGAGTCCACCGTGGTGTCCCCAGCACTGTCAGTGCCCGGCACAGGGCAGGTGCTGCCTCTGCTCGTGCAGGTGGGTGGCAGAAGACGTCACTGCAGTGTGGAGTCAGTACAGCACCCAGAAAACGCGACAGTGACACTCGGACCTTAAGGCCCAGAAGGGTGAGCCAGGCGAGGGTGTCAGCCAGGGAGGGAGAGCACAGATGGAAGCGGAGGTTTCTAGGACAGGGAAAGCACGGACAGGAAACCCTGCAGCTAAGCAATTCGCAGAGCAGGCCCCCCTCGGCCCTCACAGTGCCACGCGCTTTGGGAGAAAACTAATTTTATCTGACTGTCGATTACAGAAGAAAAATGGGGCCCAGAGCTCCCTCTCCAGCGAGCCTACACGGGGCTGCTTTTGCACTGCGGAACTCCGCGTGTCTGCTGGGGACATTAATCACAGGAGCAGTTACAGGCAGCTAAACTATCTGAGCGTGTTCCCTGAATAGAAGAAAAACAGAAATAACGAATAATTAATTTTTCCTCATTAAGGCTGTTTTCCTCTCAAGGTAGCTTGAACTTGCTTTGCACCAAGATACTTTAATTGCCCTCAGCGAGGCTGATTAGGGTGAAAGGCGGAGGGCCTGCGGTTGTCCACTTAGAAAAACGCCGCCTCAACCCTGGCTCAGCCCTGCTGGTGGGCAGGGAAGTGCCCCTGCTTGCAGCATGGCAGGGTCGCCGCCGAAGTCACTGCGGGAGGATCAAGGCCCCCGCCGCCCAGCCCAGCCCAGCCGGGAGACAGCCTTGCAGGTCTCAGGGCCAGCAGTCCGCATCACAGGGCTCCTCACAGGAGGGTTAAAGCCAGGAGCTCCGGGTCAGCATCGTTCTCACTGGCTTTTTTTCCCCAGACTTCATGCTCACCCCAAACTGGAGAAACTGCCATTAATAATTTCAAGATGTGGCTTCTAAATGCTCCACATCTTGGCAGTAATAGTGCCTAGGCCGCAGGAGGAGAGATGGACTTCAGGGACTGTCAAGTAGCTTCCCTGGCTCCCTGCCCCCACCCTAAGCCCAGGACACTGTGTAGCAGGAGGCCCACGGTCATCCAATTACACCTCACTTAAGGGAGGCAATTCGCGTATTTATTTATGTAGGAATTGATTCCAAAGACACACCAGCCCCCTTCTGGCTTCCAAACTGTGAGGAGGCAGTGCTGATACAACCCAGAGAAGGGAGCTCCCAGAGCCACAGATACAGTGAGGGAAATGTAATCACACATCTGGATCCACTTGCTCACCAGAACTTCAAATTGTTCCTTTCTCCCCCGTGTCTTCTGATTCCTCCTGTTTCTCCTCCATCCCCTGTGAGTATTCTGTCCTTTCCTTGCCTTTTCCTCCTCTGCCTTAACCCTTTCCCCACCCACAGCTACGGACTTACAGTTTGCAAGGACAAGTGAAGGACATCCTGTCCCTTTTGCCACCGCCGGGGACTGCTACAGCGCTGCCAAGTGCCCCCAGGTACGTCCTTCCCCGGCCCCTTACGAGGTCTGTCCCTGGGGAGGTAGCTGGGACAGCCACGCGCGCATGGGGGCTCACCGTGGAATCCGGTGACTGCACCCGTGGAGCGGTTCCTAAGGGAGCACAGCTGCATGCCTGCGCCTGCTTTCGATGAAACGCATCAAATGGTAAAAGCTTGGGAACAAATGTTGCGTGGCAAGGGCGTGGCTTCACAAACTGGCTCCTAAGGCAGTGAAGTGACCGCAGCACGCAGGCAAAGACTTAACGACTGACCCTCCGACAACTCTGACTGCTGCTTTGTCGCATTTGCTGACTTCCACGGTCTACCTACAGTGTCTCTGATTGAGCTCGAGCTCCCAATACGCTGTCACCAGCTAGAGTTGGGAAGACAGGTACCCCGCTGACTTGAAAAGCCAGCACAAGTGGCCCACTCACCCCACCACCAGCCACTGAAACTTCTGAATACGGCACGATACAGAGTAGGATCAGGTGGCAAAAATAAGACGCAGAGCACACAAGCAGTGCGACCCCATCTCTGTGTTCAGAGGTTGTTTTTGTTTGTTTTGTGGTGCAGGGATTGAACCCAGGGCCTCATGCATGCTAAACACATACCGTAGGACTGACCTACACCTCCTGCTCCTGTACATAGAAAAAAAGTTGGAAAGACTTTTAAAAATATTAGCAGGGTGAATTGGTGATTTGTTTTAAAGAAATAAATGTTGGGCCTGGAGAGCCCCAAATCTGCGAGACTTGCACAGGTTTGGTCTGACTCCTTAGTCCTAGCGCCTCTAGACTGGTCTTCGCAAATCAGCACGTTTCTCCTGTGCGTGGAGCCCGAGGAATTTATTGCTCACTGGGAGAGTGACGCATGAACAGTAAACCGTGACATAATAATACATCCTAGGTGTCTTAGCACTGAGGCGCGTGGCTCGGTGTGGAAGTCCTGCTTCAGCTCCAGCAATCTGCAGTGTTCCGTCTGCCACTGGATGGCCCTCGGGCAGGTTTTGCTCTTTCCAGCAGTTCTGCACTTTCTGGCCTCTTGAGTGTGGCTTCTGAAGCATGCTAGAAGCATCCCGCCAGGCTAATTCTGCAGAGAAGGTAGAGATCTTTGCAAGAAACTTCCGAACTTGGGAGAGCTTGGAATACAGGCTAAACACGCCGAATGTGCTCACTGTAGGCAGAACTTGGCCCCGGCTTCTTCTTTGGTTGTCTGGAGGTCTTCACAAAGCTGTTGTTCATCTCAGAGCTAGGAATTCCCCACTTCGCCTGCGCGTTCTGAAGTCTGGACTGGGACTGATGATTCTGTACTCAGAATCCCAGGCACTCTCTCTGGGGAGGCAGATGGATTCACCCTCAACCTCAGAGCCTGGTCAGAGACAAACACATGAGTATTCTTTTAGTGAACTGTTTTCCCAGCCCCAAGCTTTAGAAAAGCATTGCTAAACATTTTAGAGAGGTGAAAAGGAAGCCTTCAGGGGTGAAAGAAAATAAACAAAGGGCACAGTGGTAGAAGGCCTTTCCTCTCACCCAGGAACTGGAAACCTTTGAAGTGCAGGTTTCTTCGGAGGAGCTGATGGTTTCAAACTCCCATCAGTGTGGGCTGCATTCCCATGGCTCCTAGGTTGGCGCTGTCCTGCCTTCTTCACTGTCTCAGGATTTTCTTGTTTTTCTAAGCACATCCGTTGGGAAGCTTAAGGAAATGAAAGGTAATTTGCATTCATTTATTTTAATAATGCAGAAACAAATGAACTGATTGATTTGCTAAATGCTGACAGTGCAGTGATGCCCAAGTGGGGAAGCCTGAAGCCCGTGAGAAGCTAATTTGCACCGCCCCCCGCCACAGCCAGTTCTTCGAACCATGCTGCGTCCCTTAGGTCTCAGCTCCTTAGACGTTTACTAAGCACCAGCAGGACAGATGGAAGACGCGAGTTTTCCAGGAAAAGGTTGGGAAGGAAGCACGGCCCTAGCATATGCTTTGACGTGGAGAAAGTGTCCTTTGACCTGACAGTTGCACAGAAATCAAAGTGAGAGTGCTGCGTTTGAGAGTCGTTCTCTTTCTCCTGACCCAGTGCTGTGGCTTGGGGGTTTATTTCTCAGTAAGGGTGAGCTCCTGAGAGCACTACTTTGGCAGACAGCCTTGGGGGAGGTTCTTATCACAGAAATAGTCTTGTTATTGTAGGTGCTGGGACTGATAGCTCCCGTTTACTGAGCATTTCCTGTGCTCTTGGGAGACAGCGTTTCACCCCCACCACACCCCATGCAGTGAGGAAAGGGCAGGCATGGAGTCTGGGTGTCTTGCCCAGATCCACACAGCTGGTGCTCAGCAGAGGCTGGATTTGATCCCAAGAGCCATATTCATAAGATGGCGGACAGGGACTCTAACTCTTTTGCCAGGCCAGATTTCTACGCTATCAACTCCTGTCCAAGCAGAGAACAGATTGCTCTTCGATCCAAGCACACCTCTTCTTTTCTGGTAATGGGAATCGAACTCAGGACCTTGTGCTTGTCAGGCAGGTGCTGTGCCTCTGAGCTATGTCCCCAGACCCCAAGCACACCTCTCGGAAACCTCCCCAGACCATCTAGAGCAACGATGGTGAACCCTTTAGAGTTTTCAATGATACAAACAGCCTGCTGAGGCATGTGTGCCGTAGGTTCGCCATCACTAGTCTAGGGTATGCATAACTCTGAGTTACTTTCCCTCTTTTAAATGTGCAGCAAATCTGGCTACAACTCTGATGCCTTCTAGACACTGAGGATAAGGACTTTGGGGCAGAAACGTCCAGGACGGAGCTGGAAGGCACATTATGTCTTTGCTCCTCTGGTGACCGTCCGCTTTTAGAAAGCTAAAATCAGCTAGGAGCCGGGCCGCTGCTGGAGGTGCCGATGGCTCCCGGGCCAGGGCAGGCAGGAGGGCAGTCTGCCTGGAAGAGGGGTTGGCCGCCCAGCCGAGAGGGACTCTGCGGGGTCCGCTCAGACACGGGGCACCCTCTGGGTGGCGCTGGCGCACGGTCAGCACAGATGCCAGGTCAGGGCTCTGGACCCGCTCACCTCTGACCCTGGAGCCAACACTGCGTCCCCGCTCCCTCCAAGCGAGTGACACAGGCACCCTGACGCTGGCAGGATGGGAAGGAGGAAAGACAGGCGTGTGGGCGCTGAGGGAGCTGGGACTGTGAAGGGTGGTGAGGCAGGTAGAAGAGATGCAGGATAAGTAAGAGGAGACAGGGAAGCTGGAATTTTAAAGCCGTACCTTTGAGGAAGACCACAGCACTGGGACTCCAGCCTCGTTCAAATGTTTTCAGTTTCTCTCTTCTGCAAGGCAGTAGGCCTGGGAAACCCCTTTCACCTGCGAGCTGGGCCTTTCCACCGCTCTTGTCACCTGTGAGCCCCACTCACCCTCAGGGAGGCAGCAGTACTGGTCCGCAGCAGATGTGACAGTCCGTAGGAGGACACGGCCTGATCGCCCATCCGAAGACGGCCTCGGAGCCCATAACCGCGCAGCTGCGCAGCCCGTTCCCTGAACGCGATGGAGTCAGAGAGCCCGCCGGGCCCTGGGGGACGGGGGGCCCGCCCTCTGCGTGTGGCGGCGGGGACGATGGCAGCGGCGGCCCGCGCCTGAGGGTGGCGGTGGGGCTCATTGCGGCGCCCGCGGAGGGCCACTCACGCGTCTGTGTGCTGCCTGGAAAAGAACGTGCAGGTCTCCTACCCTGCCTGGCAGTGAGAGGCCGGGCCTTTGTCCGCGCCTCCTGTCACCGCGAGGCCTGTCAGGCCCACTTGCGGGGTGCAGGGACCTCGCTGGCTCGTCCAGGCCCCCGGCACGGGTGAGTCGGGCCTCCCGGCTCCGCTGCAGCGCTGTGGCCGTGGGCGCCGTGGGCGGCTGTCCTGCGACCAGTGCCCTGGCCCACACCCCTGGTCGCCCTGGCAGAGGCCGCGGTGACCCCTGCGCTGCACCCCTGTGACGCCCGAGACGCTGCCCACCCTGCCGTGAGGGCGAGGTCACCCGCGTGGGGTGGGCGGGAGAGACCCGCGTGTGCCCACTCGGTGTTCGGGACCCGGCCCCGCAGCGCACACGTCCGTGGGGTGCGCGGGGCTCGGCCTCGTGCGGGCCGGGCGCTGCTGAGAGCGGGGCGCTGGGTCCTCGACTGCAGCAGCGCCCGAGCGGGCCGGGAACGTTAGGACAGGGGAGGCCGGGTGGCGATCGGCAGGGCCGGGTGACCATCTGCGGGTTCGAGTGGCGATCTGCGGGTTCGGGTGACGATCTGAGGGTTCGGGTGGCGATCTGCGGGTTTGGGTGACTGCGGGTTCGGGTGGCGATCTGCGGGTT